GCCAGCGCTGACTGGCGGAACGGACGGGGGAGGAGGCGGGTACAGCTGGCTCTGCCTCTAGATAGGCAGAGCCAGCTGTCAGTCACGCAGCTGGGCGGATCCAGACATCGATGTCGGTATCCGCTCTGGCTGCGGCGTCTCAGTATACCGCAAGCTGTAGCTCGCGGTATACTGAGCCTAGGGTGACGGGAGGACGCTAGTTTGTGTCCTCCCGTTACCCTAAGGAGAACTATGGGGGGAAAAAAACAAACTATGGGCCCATAATCATCACAATTATGACAAATCACGGCTTGAACTATCTTGCTTTGCATGTAATGAGTCTCTCTCATATATTAGTTTCACCTTTTTAAAGTTGCATTAGTGAAATAAATGAACTTTTGCACGATATTCTAATTATTCGAGTTTCACCTGTAATATGTAACGTTAGAAAAGATGTGCAGTGAGTCACAAACATTGATCTGTCGCAACACCTAAAAAAAGCATTACAAAGATCAAACATTGCCGCAAGTTCACATGACATTTTGGTCTTTGCAAACACGTTTATAAGTTCCCCCAATGACTCCTATTATAATTATTAGACTTGCATCGGATAAAAGCAAGCTTTTTTTTTATGGTGAAAGAGAAAAGACAAGGTAGTCTTGAAGTAAAGTTTCTACGTGTAACATTTTTAATTTTCCTAGGCAGATTTCTAAATGAGGACACTGAGAAGTTATTGCATTGGCTGTGTCTTTTGAGGAAATGCATTCTTCTCTACTGATGGCCTCACATGCTTAGTATGATATATCCCAAATTATGAGAAGCAACCTCTGATCTGACCTTCTATCTGAGCAAATACACCTCCCGCAGAGGCCCCTTTCCCCCCGGATATCACTTTTAGCTAATCTGTGCTCTCCTACTGAGTTGGTTAGTGTTTTACTACATAACAGTATTAATAAGTCACTCAGGTAAAACCCTAGATACTCATCATTGGCAATCTGCCTAGAAAGACTTCTCTAATGACTGATGGGTGCAGTAAAACATTTTTGTGGCTTCTATCAGCACTGAACTGTATGAACTGAACGAATGAATTGTATGTAAGGCTTTGTTGTGTTTACTATACATATAAGGTGAGGTGGGCCAATTAGAAATGAAGGGATAGTCTCCCCAAACGTGCTATTTCAGTTTTGGGCAGATGGAGGTGGATTGAACCACCCACTGATGTCTTGTATAGCTCATTTCTATGACACCAAGGTTTCTCCATTTGAGTTCTGTGTTCTCCAACTAGTCACAGCCTTTAAAGGGAGGTTGTATTCTCCCTATTTGGTTTTCATCTGTTTTATTTGATAGGGCTGGGACGGGCAATTCATTTTCTCAAGGGGCTACATGAGAAATTGGAGGGCTAAACCAATAGACTGAACTTAGTTCTGCACAGTATTAATATATATGATTTTGATTAGCAGCTACTGGTAAGAATACATGTTTTGGTAAGGGTGCATGTTGCCTGCACTACTTTTTTCAACTGCACTGCACCACCAACACATGGTATTGTGGTACTGCATGTTGTGGCGCAGTCGATCGCATTGCGGCCAGGAGGTACATTTGGTGTGCCATTCAAATGAATGGCAACCCAACGCACCCGCTGCATGGTACAGTGGCTTGGTACAATGCTTTTATCTCACCGAATCCTGTGATTTAACGTATGGCATAAGTTTGAACGGGCCCTGAATGAAGCCATATTGTCTGCACATAGTATGTGGCACATACTTTTTTTTTTTTTGATAGGCCAGAGGCAGAAGCCAGGAGGTGAAGCAGGCTGAAGGAGAGTATGGAAGAATATACTCTTCTGTTTTCCTGTAATGCTGGGGATGGGGGAATGCATTTGACATCACTGGTTGCTAGGATCTCCCAGCGGTCTTAGCAACCAATAACTGTAGAGGAGGAGGACCTCTGACATCATTGGTTGCTAGGATGCCACCTCATCCACTGTCAGCCAGCCATAACTGAGCGCAGGTCAGAGATCGGCCTGTGGGCTGGACAGGGACAGACAAAGGGCGGGATACGGCCCGCGGGCCGAAAAATGCCTAAGTCTGTTATAGGGGATGCTGCAGGATGAGTGAGACAATGGCAGGTTTTGGGCTAAGCCAGGATTCCTATGGACAGGAGCTGTCTAAAGTGTTTAATAGAGAACTATGAGGCAAGTGCTTTTCACTCACCTCATAGTTCTAGCCGACCTGTGTCACAGGTTGGCTCAGATCGGGAGGTGAGCGAACACATACCGGCGTTCGCTCACCTCTCGATCCTGTCACGACTCTCTGCCGTGACAGGGGGAGGGGCTGGATTCCCCCCGCTCTGATCCGCCAGCACTGACTGGCGGATCGGACGGCGCAGGGGGCGGGTACAGCTGGCTCTGCCTCTAGATAGGCAGAGCCAGCTGTCAGTCACGCAGCTGGGAGGTTCCCGGCACAATTGTCGGGATCCGCTTCAGCTGCGGCGTCTCAGTATACCGCGAGCAGCAGCTCGCGGTATACTGCAGCGTCTCAGTATACCGCGAGCTACAGCTCGCGGTATACTGAGCCTAGGGTGACGGGAGGACGCTAGTTTGTGTCCTCCCGTTACCCTAAGGAGAACTATGGGGAAAAGCCCTAACCCCATAGTTCTCCTTTTTAAGTGCAGTGTATGTACAGGACTATTTTACCTTGCTCAGCCTTGTATCCCATCTTAAACTATAGGCTTGCCTGAAAAAGGAGTGTACTTCTAAGAGTAGCACAACCTTAACCCAAACTTTGTATGCAATGTTTAGGCTGGCACTACATAAAGCCAAGCCTTCCAAATGCAGCCATGTGTTCTGAGCATTGAAAAATGGTCTCAGTGTAACCTTCCTGTATAAGGTTCCTGTCTTTTTATATATAGGGCCACTTGGAAGGCATTGAAACTACCCACAGGCACCGCCTTCAGCACCTGGTTGCATAAATCTTGGGTTTGCTTTTGCATTGGAATCGTTTTACTAAAGGCAGATAGGCTGATCACTTTGCAAAGGAATTTTCCTTTAGCTTAGTGAATGAGATGAAGCTCTGCTGACTTCCATCAACCGTGTGAAAGTAAATCTACTGTCTTTTTTTATTTTTCTTGCACAAGTGCCAGTTATCAATGCTCGGGCTGCAACTAATGATTATTTTAATAATCGATTTAGTTGGACGATTAATAGGATAAAAAAAAAAAAATTAAATACCATCCTACTAAAATACACAAATGCTGCGTTAAAAAAAAGTTTATTTCAGAATAAAACTGCTTGCACAGCTTTTTGCAATCGCACTGCCCTGGAACGTACAGCATTGCAGTACCATTGCAGCATGGGGATATATTATATTATTCATAATTATATTGTAAGCACATGATGCTTGAATAGCTTCAGCCAGGGAATGACAGCTGCTAGTGGCAAGATTCTGCAGACGGCAGCTGAATGTATATACAGCAGGCAGTGGGCTGGTGCAATAGCCAGCCTGCTATTGGTCATTTCAAATTGCAATAGCCAAAAGCAGGCTGGCTTTTGCACCCGCCCACTGCTGTGCCCTCCTCCCAGCATGATTGAGAGAGCTAGGGGATCCAATCAACGAACTGATAATGAGACTAGTTGACAACTATTCTCTTTATCGGTTAATTGATTCGTTGGTTGCAGCCCTAATCGATGCCATTTTCCGTAAAAGCAAAGATGCTGCCGCGCATGGGCAGTGATATCGCTATTTTTGTGGAGACCAGTAACGGAACACCTAATCACTCCCACCGTGCCTGCGAAATGGCAGCCACATCCTGACTCAATATTAGTCCACCATTGCTACGGAAACATTGAAACACACATGCAAGACGGGTGCAACTTTCAAGATGTCCAAGTTTTCTGTTAGAAAAAGATTTTATTATATATTTTCTGTTATATTTTATTTCCAGGTAGAGGTGTATATTGAAATACTTCACCTCTATTTCTCTCTGCTCACCTAACCTATTCTACCTTCTACATTATTTTGAACCTGCAATCTGTATATCAGACTGGGACTAAGCAGGAAACTAAACTTCATTTTACTTCCTGTATTTGCCTCTTACAATAACTATAGTGTATTTTCATTTATTTATGTATTTATTCCTTTTTTGCAGTATCATATGGGATGGTGTCTTCCAGCATGTTTTACTATACAAAGGTCATGACCCAGCTCTTCCTGGACACACCGGTTGCAAAGTCTGAAAGGACAACTTTCAAAACCTTAATGTCAAAAGAAGACTTTTGGAAGGTGAGGTGCTGAATAGTATATGAAGGTCTAGTTATGTTTATATTATTGGGATGTACTTGCTTGTAATTTAAAAAGATATTCCAACCTATTCTGGAAACTAGGAGTAAAGTGAATTGACATTTTTGCAACCAATGTTATCCCTAAAGACTCATCTCTTCAGGGAAGCTTATCCCACCTCAACCTAACCACTGAACCATCACATTCTCAAACAATTCATCCCCACACAGCTACCTCCTCATGTATCACTTGCCCTCCCTTTTAGACTGTAAGCCCTCAGGGGCAGGGCCCTCCTTACCATCTTATCTTGGATTGTATTGTGATTGTAATGTCTTCCTTATATTGTAAAGCGCTGCGCAAACTGTTGGCGCTATATAAATCCTGTATAATAATAATATGCCTTGGTTTCAATAGCCGCAGTTCCTATCACTATGCTGCAGTGATGTGCGCGAAAATAGTAGGCCATGTAGTACTTTCTTTTTTTCAGAACAGAGCGGTGTGATGAAATCCACCGCATCACACCATGCTGAGGTTGATAGAATTGAATGTCACTTTGTGACATATCAAGTTAGTTCCAACATAAACAAAGGTTTCCAGCACATGGGCATCACAGCCTTCACAGACCACACCAGCAGTTGCATTCTAAAGCTTTATAATTTTCGATTAGGTTTGTTATACCTTGCACACCTTCTTTACACATACCTTAGCTTTTATTAGCAAGGATGCAGTGGTGTGACTTTCATCTCATCTTTCCGCATAGTTTGTAAAGTATATTATTAATCCAAATTTTTTTTACATTTTACCCTATGTCGTCTTTTAGGCTTACTTTCTGTGAGTAGTATAATTTTGTCCTTTTACTATATTTATTGTTATACTTTGCTTATCCTCTATATTTAATTTTCTTAAACACTTTGACTGAGAAATTTCCTTTAATTACAGTTTGCAGAGGGCCCACTATTGCATGGTCTATACTGGGACATGTGGTTCAACAACAGTACAATGACCGAAAACCAAAGCGTTATCTATTATGAGAACATGCTACTTGGGGTGCCTCGTCTGCGTCAGCTTAAAGTGAAGAATGGCTCCTGCACTGTGCCAGAAGATTTAAAAGATGATATCAAAGACTGCTATGATATGTATTCAGTGAAGAGCGAAGATACGGCCCCCTTTGGGTTACGAAATGGAACAGCGTATGTACCTCTGACACTGTAACAGTTGATATTGCAGGGGTAGGCAACCTGGGAACTTCAGCTGTGTTGGAATGACATATCCCATCATGCCTATGCCTCTGGGAGTCATGTCTGTGGCTGTCAAAGTCTTGAAACGCCACAGGGGATTTGTAGTTCCACAACAGCTGGAGTCCCAAGGTTGCCTACCCCTGTTATATTGTTTTTGTGGTAAGACTTTTCCCTTTTCAGGGTTGGTGAATTCTTCAAATAAGAAGCAATGACGGATATTCATATGTATCTGTTATTTATGAGTAGTTTCATGTGATTGTTTTCTAGTGGCAGTCTTACCACTTTTAGTGTGCAGACATATTGAGTGATCTAGGGTTCCACAGAATGATATACATAATTGGAAAAATAAAATGATAGGAAAGAGCATAGAAATCGCAAACCCTTAGTCTATCAGTTTCATCCCTCCTGCACAGTAGTCATGTTTTTTTCTTCTACTACTTGCTCTCAGAAAAAACTGTAAGCGGCTAGTAGACAGAATTAGTCAAATTAGAACTAGTATCGCTGTATTTAGTGGACATGCACTGGTTTGCTTTTTGTAGTATGTCCAGTTTTCAAAAGGGGAAGGGCACAAGTTCCATTTTTTTTTTTTTTTTACAAGCCTTAATTTTGCTAACATAAATTAGAAGTGGAAGTCCAACCAACAATTTTTAGTGGTGAATGGCTAGATTTTATATCAGTTTTTTGCTTCCCCATTAAAAAAAGGGCAGTATCAAAAACAGGAGGTTTCAAGGATAAGTGCACTTTATGGGCCCGTTCACACCAGCTCTGGTGGGTTCTAGCACGATTCGCAGCTGGAACGCACTGGAGCACATCCCATCCGGCTTACTGCATTTGGGGGCGTGGCGGTGCGTTGAAGTCAATGGCACCGCAGCTACGCCCGCAGTGCGATCGCCTGCACCAGAACGCGTGGCACATCAGAGCCTGTGTTCCGGTCCAGTGCGATCTGAAAAAATGCTGCATGCACTATTTTTTCAGATTGCACTGGACCGCAACACATGCACTGATGTGCTATGCGTTCTGGAGCGGGCGGGGGGGGGTGGCTGCAGTGCCATTGACTTCAACGCACCACCACACCTCCTCCAGCCCTTGAATGCAGGAAGCCGGCCAGGATTCAGCAGCGAATCATGCTAGAATACACAGGAGCTGGTGTGAACCGGCACTTTGTCCCTCCCTTAACCTAACCAATCCCACTCTCCACAGATGTATACTTACCAAGGTCCAACATCCATGGCCCCCTCTGTTGACATCTTATGCTTCTTCTGGTCTCTCCTGTGCAGTAGAGCTCTATAGTAGTCTTGCAGCTCAGAGGTTGAGGTAAATGAGCCCCATAGTAATCTGTTGGGCACTGCACAGGACGGTTTGCAGTGTGGGTTATAAACAATCCCTGAAGGCTACGGGCATCAGATTGAAGTAAGTATACATCTGCAAAAGGGGGAGGGTGGCATCTGTAAGGTTAGGGAAGGAGGGCACGTTGTTTTAAAGTGCACTTATCCTTTAAACAAGAACTCTGGGCAAATAAAACCTGAACCCTTGCAATGCCCCCCACTGCAAGAGTTAAGTGCTCATTTTGTCTATGGAGCTAGAATAACAGTTATACTCACCCAAACAACGATCACGGCTGGCTCCTAGTTTCCTAAAATTGAAAGAAAAGGTTTTGGCCATTGTTCTATTTTTAGCTATAGGACATATCGTAGAACCGTTGACACCTAAAAATTGACCCCTTAAAACACCAATAGACAAGATGAATGTCACCTGACACACAGCTGATAACAGTCCGATTTGGCAGATATTCTAACGTCTGTGCAGTTGCTTCCTCCTCTGCAAACAACCCTTGACTGACTGATTCCAGGAGAAAACAACCAGTTTTTCTAATGTATTTTAATGATCCAAAACCAGCTATGTCTGACATAAGGCATGTGGCAAGGAGATTGCCTACTATATAAATGTTTATGAAAATACGTTTTGAAAGACATTTTTTTGGGAAGTCAATACTGCTAACCACCATTCCTGCTCTCTGTGGTTCCTCCTATCATCCCCTATGTAACTCCTCGGTACTGTAGTGATGAAGTGGCATAGATGAGGCTTTGCATTGCTGATAATTCCAAGATAAGCTTAACCCTAAATCAGTCACACTGTCCGGTCATTTTTTTAACACTACAATGTGTATAAATAAAAGATGGAGCAATGAATTTTTCTAAGCATTTTCCTCCTTATTGAACACTTACAAATAGGCATTGGAAACCTGATCCATACTTGTTCTGCATATTCATTGGGTTGAACATATGAATGTTACCATTGTCTAATTACCATGTGTGTCTTGGTCCTGTGGAGCTTTATGTATATTTTCTATTCTATGAGTATTAAAGTGACATTAAACCCTCAGATTTTTTAACATAAACCAATACTGTATTGTGTTCCTTACTGTAATCCATGGTTGTTTCCCTTCTCTTTGCTGCTCTTCCTTTTAAATCCTTATCTCTTCTCATGCTTGGGGAGAACTTCCCTTTGCAGCAGACTGCCTCTTCTCTGGAATGTTACATGGTGTCTGTGTGCGCGCTCCTGACCTGAGCCAGGACTACAGGATCACGTCCTCCCTACATCCACATCCCCGCCCACGTTAGATTGGTAACAGCTGCTTCCTGCATCCTGGCTCAGGTCGGGAGCGCGCACACAGACACCATGTAACATTCCAGAGAAGAGGCAGTCGGCTGCAAAGGGAAGTTCTCCCCAGCATGAGAAGAGATGAGGGTTTAAAAGGAAGAGCAGCAAAGAGAAGGGAAACTACCATGGATTACAGTAAGGCACACATTACAGTATTGGTTTATGTTAAAAAATCTGAGGGTTTAATGTCACTTTAATATTAGTTGATATTCTAGTTGTTTTTCTGTATTTGTGATTCCTTTTTTTTTTATGGTTTTGTAGCTGGACCTACAGCAAAGAAAAGGAGCTAAATGGCAGCAGCCAGTGGGGCCTCATTGCAATATATAGTGGGGCCGGCTATTACTTGGACCTGTCCAGGGACAGAGAAGAGGCTGCTGCTCAAATTGCAACTTTAAAGAAAAACATGTGGCTGGACAGAGGCACCCGAGCAGTGTTTATCGATTTCTCTGTTTACAATGCAAATATTAACCTATTCTGCATTGTGAGGTATGTTTCTTAATGCAAATGTTAAACTTTTTAACTTGTGCATCAGGCAGAACATATGTATATTACACCTATATATGATGTGAACTTTTGACTTTATCTGAGATATGGCAGGAATGAAAAGAGGGGGTACATGCAAACACAAAAACTGATTTCCTGACTTTTATTTACAGCATTATATGTGTTCAAACATGCTAAATCGTAAATGAACCGGCTGCATGAAATATGGTTCACAGCAGCTCACTACTGTCCTATATGCAAAACTTTTATCTATACTATCTGGATTCTTTTCGCAAGTGTCCTTTACTTTCCTGGTGATAGTATCTTTTAAGTCCAGTTATTGACAGTCTTGGAGAGCTATCAAAATATTATAACCACTATAATGATCACCACTAACATATATAAGTCCCTGGCTGTTATGTTAAAAGAGAACTATGGGGTAAGTGTTTTTTCCCCATAGTTCTCTTAAGGGTCACAGGAGGACAGAAACTAGCATCCTCTCGTGACCCAAAGCTCAGTATATCGCGAGTATACCGAGACCGCCGCAGCCGGGACAGATCCCGACATTACTGTCGAGATCCACCCAGCTGCGTGAGTGACAGCTGGCTCTGCCTATCTAGTGGCAGAGCCAGCTGTACCCGTCCCCTCCCCTGTCCATTCCTTCTTTTAGCGCTGGAGAATCGGAGGAGGGACAACTGACAGTTACCGCTCACTGCAGGGAGATGTTTGAGAAGTGAGCGAGCGACGGTATCTGTTCGCTCACTTCCCGATCTATTGAGACGACGTGTGACAGTTTCATTGTCACATGTCGGCTCGAACTATGGGGGTGAGTGATTTTCACTCGCCTCATAGTTCTTCTTTAACCCTTAGCAATTTTTTGGGATTATTTGTATACAGTAAACTCTCTGTTATCCGGTGTTCAACTAACCAAAACTCTCATCTACCCAGAAGAAAAAATAAATCCCATGTACTCACTGTTCTTCTGATCTGCGGCATGTATTATCCTGGAAACGATCGTGTGCCTATTTGTCTTTGATTACTGCATTTCAATATTAATATGAAGTCGATACAGAGTTTATGTTATGCTATGGTATAGTATGGGGTTTGGCATCAGTTAGACCTAGTTTTAATAGTAACTCCCAAGCAACCAGAAACTAAATTTATCTGGAATCTAGCAATCCCTGTGGATGCCGGATAACGGGGTTACTGTATTTTGGTTATATTTGGGTTATATAACCCAAATGATTTGTATTGTTGTATTTGGATTTGAATGGCATGTCACACACCTTTGTTTGTGTCTGCCTCTGTTCCTGTCTATAGACTAAGCACCCTACCCATAGTGGCTGATTTATAAATCTTCAACCCAGCATAATAGCATAGACAATTCCTATGCTTCTTATTTCCATCTAGTGGAGATGGTATAGTGTTTCTCTTTCTAAATAACCTATGATACCAGAAGTGGACCTGTGTATAATTCTATGTGCCTTTTATACAAAGTATTTTTTGGGTTGATTGCTTAAAATACAAATAGCTATTGACAGTAAGCGTTTTGATTCTTTCTTACTGTCTTGAGATTTCTTACATCAGCATGTTGATTCTTTCTGATGTAAGACATCTCATTACAGAACTGTTTCATATTATTGTTTTTTTTGTACAGCGCTAAAATGATGCAAATAACCGTTTTGTCTTGTAGGCTATTGGTGGAATCCCCAGCTACCGGTGGCCTGATCACATCTTGGCATTTTCAGACAGTGAAGCTCATCCATTACATTTCCACATTTGACTATTTCCTGGCTGCCTGCGAAATAGCTTTCTGTTTCTTTATACTTTATTACATGGTGGAGGAGTTCCTGGAGATTCGCATTCACCGCCTGCACTACTTCCGAAGCCTTTGGAACTGTCTTGATATCCTCGTCATTGTGGTGGGTATAACAGCTGACATGCTGGCAAGTTCTTGACCCTTATTACACATCAGTAATCAAAATTGTTTGCGGAGAGATAAGGGAGCTATAGATACATTGAATGTCACCTGAGATATCATACATTTTGTCCTGTAACTTAACTACAGCAATTTGTGGTTGCTGCGAAATACACATACTGTATTTAAAGGGGAATTATGAGGTGAGTGATTTTCACTCCGCTTCATAATCTGAGCCGACCTGTGACAATGAAACTGGCACAGGTCGGCTTGGTAGATCGGGAAGTGAGTGAACACATACCGGCGCTCGCTCACTTCTCGAACCAACACTGCAGAGAGCCATGCCTGTCACTCATGGTTTCCTGCAGGGATTCCCCCCTCTCCGATCCTGCAGCGCTGACTGGTGAAACGGACGGGGTAGGGGGCGGGTACAGCTGACTCTGCCTCTACATAGGCAGAGCCAGCTGTCACTCACGCAACTGGGTGGATCCAGACATAATTGTCGTGATCCGTTCTGGCTGTGGCGTCTCAGTATACCACAAGCTGTAGCTCGCGGTATACTGAGCTTTGGGTGACGGGAGGACGCTAGTTTGTGTCCTCCTGTTACTCTTAGGAGAACAAAGGGGAAAAGCCCTAACCCCATAGTTCTTTAAAGATCGGGTTGCCAGATCTTACACTTTAATACATGAGGGCCATGATATCCTGATAAGAAACAACTGAAGAGCATACACTTACACATCTATAGCTGACTATACTCCAGTAGAATTTTCTTTTAAAAACTTTGTATTGGGAACATTTATTTGAATTTCTAATAGTTAATGGGGTCAACTCACTGATCGTTTTCGACCGTAGTGAGAAACAAATTGAAGGAGCGGGATGGAAAACGTTTCTTGACGGAAAAAAATTCTAATGTTAATGGCTAAGTTTACCTTTTGCAAAAATTTAAGAAATGCATAGTTGATATATTTAAAAAACGCATTTCTTTAATATTTGCATTCAAGCCTGGAAAGCATTGCTATTGTGATCACTCGATCACAGCTGCAAAGCTCAGGCTTCTGCACATTTTCAAACTGACAGAGCTCATACTGAGGTACGGAGTTTCAGTTAGGAGAGATGGGGGAGAAGGAAGGCTGGACTTCAAACTGCATTAAATCACCTCATGCGGTGTCCAGCCGTCCTCGCTCTAGATAGATGCAGGAATACTGTACCTCAGTATAAGCTCTGCCAGTTTGAAAATGTGCAGAAGCCTGAGCTTTGCAGCTGTGATCAAGTGAACACAATTACAATGCTTTCCACCCTTGATTGCAAATATCAAAGAAATGCATATTTTTTTTATATATTATTAATTTTGCATTTCTTTAATTTTTGCAAATGGTGAACTTATCCTTTAAAATCAAACAAAATGTCAAGTCTTTAATGGCATTATCGAATGCTCTGGCAACATTTATCATATGAATGTACCAGTGTATTGGCAGCATTAGTCTGTCTGTTCATATCACTCTCTTAGGCCCCGTTCACATTGAGCGATTTATCGCGCGATTTTTGCAGCGATATCGCTCATATTTCCGCGCTATATCGCTCTATGTAGCTTCGCCAATACATTTCAATGTAGCTGTTCACATCTCGTCGCTCAATATCGCTTGTAGCTCGTCGCTGGTAGCTTGTCGCTTCTACATGACCCTTTTTTAGAGCGATTTTGAGCGATATTGCTCCTGATTGCATACAGCCCAATAGGAAGATCGCGCGACGCGTCGCTCAATGTCGCCCGATTTCCATGTCGCTCAGTGTGAATGGGGTCTTAAGGTGCCCATACACTGCTCGATTCTCGTACCAGAATCGGGCGAAATCCCGCGATCGTACGAGAATCGAGCAGTGTGAACTAAGTGTGAACAGTAGAAACGGTCGCACGTCTTTTGTCGAGCCAACATGCTTGAAAACCAGCCGAGAATCGTACGATTCTCGGCGGGTTTCTAGCCTGCTAGCCCGATAGCTGCGGAACGGGCCGGTGTGCGCACGCGCACACTGCCCGTTCTGCATTGCCGTCATCGGAAGCCCGTCCCTCAGCGGGGCGGGCTTCCGATGATCGCAAGTACGATCTGCCCGTCCAAGGTGGGCAGATCGTACGGGCTTTTAATGAGCATACGACCATCGCAAGACAAAAGTCTTGCGATGGTCGTAAGGTGTATGGGCACCTTAAGGTTTAACCGTTACCTGTACTTTTTTATTTTTGTCTCACCTGCAGCTCTCGGTGGTGGCAGTGGCAATCAACTTGTACAGAATGACATCTGTGGAAGGACCACTAAATAAACTCCTGGCAGACATGAATTCATTTCCAAACTTTGAATCTCTGGCTTACTGGCAAAGTCAGTTCAACAGTATTGTTGCTCTGACTGTGTTCTTCGCTTGGATTAAGGTAAATAGTAATATATGTTATACTTTTGATACAAATATAAAAACCTCTTCCTGCATAGGGCTTAGGATGCGCGAGAGGGGGGCAGCACTTTGCGCCAGTCAGGCTCTATTGCATTGATCAATGTTGCATACAAATACTAGGAACTGGCTGGCAGGAAAAGTGAGCATGTGCTGCTACTCCTTCATGGTCTAGTCGGCATGCTGAGGGTAAGTTGTGAATGGACCATATTGCTTAACTATTGTAGGAGAAAAGGGGGATCACTCAACCTGCTAAGGGTGCTTGCATCCCTGCCTGAACAGGATTACTTTGACAGGTAAAACAGTTCAAATCCATGTATTTCACCTATATATTACCCAGGGTTCAGGTTTGAGATGATCAGTTTAAAGCAACTCTGCCAGTACAGAGAGCAAATTCAGGCCCGCCTGTAAAAAAAAAAGAATGGAAATACCTTTTTGTTTTTTTTAATATTCTGCCACGATGCAGATCTCCAGCCGCTGCAGGTATCTGACATTTCCTGGTGAGATAAATATTTGCTCATCCACTGCACACTGGGACTCCTTCCACTGGCTCGTTCACCCTGCAGTGCTGTTCGATATTATATCTCAGCAGCCAGTAGCTCTAAAAAAGAAGCCTGACTAGAATGATTCCAATTGTGTCTGTTTCGTGTCCTCCACATCGTGGAGTGAGATACAACACAGTTGGGTTACCACTACCGATACACACTGGTTTCAGATGCTTATTGAATGTCTTGTGATATGTGTTATTAGAATGTAACACTATGCCTATAACCTATTCTTATACTCTGACAGCTCTTCAAGTTTGTGAACTTCAACAGAACCATGACCCAATTGTCTACAACCATGTCTCGTTGTGCTAAGGATATCCTGGGCTTCTCCATTATGTTTTTCATCATATTTTTGGCATATGCCCAATTTGCCTACCTTGTGTTTGGCACTCAGGTGGATGATTTCAGCACTTTCCAGGACTGCATGTAAGTCATTTAGGAAGACCATTTGTAACAATGTCCATACACAATCATTCCGTGCAGCAAAATGAAGTGAACACAATGATTCCACTCTTGAACTTATACTGACCATACACATTACAGTCTGATTGTAAAATCTCCTTTAGTTCTAACAATGACTATGTTGGATAAGGGCCGTCCTTAATGAATTCAAATTGAATTGATTATTTAAGTAGGCCTAAACATAGCATAGTTTTAATAATGCTAAAGGAGACTGTGCAATCAGATAGTAACATGTTTGGTTGTCATTATAGTTATCTTAACCATTACCCTCTTGTGGTCTCTGCAGCTAAATGCTATAATTCCAAGCTTTTGAGGACTGCAGATGCTGCTAATAAGAATGGGTAGTAGTGTTGGTAGTTTGCTTAAACCCAGGTTTGTATTCATGGCCTTATTTTCCGATTGCTGTTCTAGTCTTGGTATTTATTATATTCCTAAACCAATGGCAGCTAAGAGAGAAACACAAAAGGGTCTGTTTCTAAAAAATGTGTACAGTTTATTTGTCCAACAAAACCGCAGATACTTTTGCTCTGTGTGAGTTAACCAGCTATTGAGAATCAATCAAAAACAAATGTTATTAATGTCATTTCTCTTCTGGTCGAATGTTCTTTCATACAGAACAGAGTGAATGGAGGAAATACCACAGTATGGCCAGTAGATGGAGCTGTTCTTTTATCCTTGATTTTGAACTTTCCTTTCAGCCCCACATCCAATTACTAGCCAACCTCTGTAACATTTCCAAAATTCGTCCCTTCTTAACAGATGATACCACAAAGCTTCTAATTCACTCCCTTGTAATATCTCGCCTTCACTACCGTAACTCCCTCCTTGTTGGCCTACCACTAAGCAGGCTATCCCCTTCAATCTATAATTAACTCTGCTGCCAGACTCATCCACCTTACCAACCGATCAGCGTCTGCCACCCCTCTCTGCCTGTCCCTCCACTGGCTCCCACTTCCCCAACATATTACATTCAAAATACTAACAATAACCTACAATGCCATCTACAACTCCGCCCCAACCTACATCACCCAAACCACCCCCTTTGCTCTTCTTAAGACCTCCTGCTCTCCAGCTCTCTTGTCACCTCGCATGCTCGCCTCCAGGACTTTTCAAGGGTGTCTCCCATCCTCTGTAACTCCCTACTCCAATCTGTCCGCCTATCTCCTTCTCTGTCCACCTTTAGGCGATCCTTGAAAACTCATCTCTTCAGGGAGGCCTATTCAACCTCGATATAACAGTACTTTCAGTTCTTCGACTAAATCATCCCAAACAGTTATTAGCTTTTGTATCACTTGCCCCTCCTACTAGACTGTAAGCTCTCACGAGCAGGGCCTTCCTACCGCCTTTACTGAAATTGTATTTTTATTTGTATTGTCTCCATCAGTTTTGTAAAGCGCTGCACAAACTGTTGGCGCTATATAAATTCTGTATAATAATGATAATGAATAAACCTATTGAAGAACATTCGACCAGAAGAGAGATCACATTAAAAACATTCATTTTTGACCCATTCTCACAACAATTGGTCAACTCCAATGTACATGCACTTTCACTGGATGAATAAACTATGTGATTTTCTTTTTTTTATAAATATACCCCAATTTGAGAAATGGACAATTCCAGCAATAAGTGATAAAGCAGTAGATTGCGATTTATTAAAGTGCTGTTCTGTCATGTTAAAACACATTTTTGTTTTTTTACAACAAAATCTAAAGAAGACAATTCTGAATACATTCTAGACTTATATATGGTTTGCAGCCGAAGTAAAAATTTTAAATTCTGGTAAACAAAATGTGCAGCCAAATGTGTTCCTTGAAGTAAACAAGCGATTAGCTTGGGTTTGTGCTGTGTACACATGCTGCAATACTGTGGTTGGAGGATTGTCACTGTTGCCCTGTGTGTGGGATCACATTCACAGCACAAATAGGCAGTGTTGTGTGACAGAAGCAAGCAATCACTTATCCAGTCTGGTTATATACATCATCTAAACTAGATACCGATAATTATTTATTGAGCCAACCATCTAGAACAACCTGCATGCTGTTTGTAAGTCTTGTCACGTTATCACATCATGTTCTGAAATTTTCCAAATTAATTCCAGTGTAATCTAGTTTTTTTTTCTATTTTTTATTTTATTTTATAAACTTATTTTTTTTTATTTGTTTGCATTTTTTTATTTATTTAACTTTTGTTTGTCTTTTTAATTTTATTTTGTTTTACTTTTTTTTAAATGTTTTTTTATTTTAATGCTGGGAGCAATAGCCAGCCTGCTATTGGATATTTCAAATTGCAATAGCCAATAGCAGGATGGCTATTGCATCTGCCTGCTGTCAATCAGCAGAGGAGGAGCCTGAAGGAGAAAGTTCTCTATCAGGTCGTCCCATGCTTATTGACAGCAGGCATTGGGTGGGTACAGTAGCCAGCTTGCTATTGCATTTTAGAATATCCAATAGCAGGCTGGGTATGTCTCCCAGCCTGCAATGAAGGGGGGGCAGGGCAGAGGAACCGCGGCCGGACCAGGAGAGCATCGGTCTGTGTCCCCGCTGCCTCCATCAACGCAGAGGGGATTTGAAGGGACACAGGCCACTGCAGCCACAGTTCTACTAAAATGTACCTCCGGCTGCCGGTACATTTAGGAGAACTGTGGACCCCGTTTGTAAGTACGGATTGTCCGTAAGTCGGACGTCCGTAACCCGAGGACTGCCTGCATATGCAATTTTAAGATATGTAAGGTCCTTATATAGCAATGTGTCTGCATTGCTGGGCACATGCTAATGCACATGCATTGGTCTGAATGGACCCATATAGTTTCACTTTATGAACATGCAAGCCAGGTAGGAAAGAATGGGATTTCCTTTTTGAAACACCGCAAACTTCTTTTGCAGGAAAATTGATAATAGGGAATAGGCCCAGAAGCTCCTATAATATATCCAGACACGTGCATCAAGTTTGAAATTATTACATTTGGGGGTTATTCCCAAAAGGGTGAAGAGTTTGGAGAAGGCAGGAGAAGTGAACAATCTAGGACAACATAGCTGAAGTGGAAAGTGAGCTGAATTGGAGAATTTTTCCAAATCAGCTATGTTGTCCTAGATTGTTCACTTCTCCTGCCTTCACCCTTTTGTGAATACCCCCCTTTGTCTTCTTTTTCTTGCCCTATGAGAGCTGTTTCAAGGGCCAGTTAAAATTTTCTTCTGCCTTCAAATTTGAGAAAACTCCATTATATGTTTTGTGTTCCCATTCAAACAGTATAGCTCAAAAATATTTCTTACATTTTTAGATGTTTCCTTGGAGAGGTCTTTGTGCAGACTGCAAGCTTCTCTGTACAATTTCAAAATGACAGGAAACTCTGCTTGCCCCGAGATTAGACTAGGGACACTTTAAGCTTCCTCTCATTAACATACAATGCTTCTAGAGCTTTAACCCTTTGTTAGGACAGACAATGTTCAAATTTCCTTTACAACTGATGATGGAGATCTGCCAACAGTTAATTATGGTAACCTCCCCAGCCCCCTGGTATTCCAGAGGAAAAATGTAGTTTGGAAAATTACTGTGAAATTGCCTGTGGCGGTCAGTGTAGATGGGAGATCAATATGCTCAGTGTTCAAGAAACCCATAGTGACCACAGGAGGAACCATGGCTAAGAAAAGCTGCCTTAGATAAACATGTTTCTAAAAGTTTGGTCACAGTTGTCGGGAAGAGGTCATATAAGACAACCATGTCCCATCATCAAAGAGTTCAGTAAGAGGTCACCTTAACAAAATGGCCGGATCTCCTCCTGTGTTCAGAGATCTATAGTCATGCCTGTATGCAAGTATACGTTCATTGGTTTGTATTGGTTGTCATTGGTTTGTAGAGGCAGGCTATATGCAACAACTGTAGGTCCCAGGCACAGATGCAGCCATTTGCTGTGGTGTTTGGACATTTGTCCCTGTGTGAATGAGCCCTAAGTCCTGGTTCACACCTGTACGTTTTGTAGCGCGTTCAACGCTCTACAAAACGCTCTATGGGTATGGTTCACACCTTGCCGTGTTTCAGCCCGTCTGAACGCGCTACAAAACGGCCTACGCCTGAAAAGGTACATGAGCTTCTTTGCGGCGTTTTTGTTGCGCGTTTCCATTGGGATACAGCCAAGTAGCCATTGGAAACGCGCGTTTGTCGCGCGGTTTTTTTACCGTGCGCATATTCGATACGCCTGGGTGTGAATAAAGCTTATGGGTCTCTTGCCCCTTTTTGCTTTAGTTTCTGTGCACATGCCTTCTTACACTTTATGGCATTTTATGACATCTGGCATTAACAATTTGATTAGAAACGCTAACATATCTTTTTATTTTTATCATATGTGGAAGTGTCCTTTAACCATTTTCTTACAATTATTGCTTTAGTATTAGCACAACCTTGAAGTGGAACCTATTAAGTAATGTTGTTTTTCTATTTTAGCTTTACCCAGTTCCGTCTTATTCTGGGCGATTTCGACTTTACCGAGGTCGAGGAAGCAGATCGAATATTGGGGCCCATCTATTTTTCATCTTTTGTCTTTTTTATGTTCTTCATTCTTTTGGTATGTGTATAAATCTCTAGGTTTGTTCTTTAATAAACAATTTGTAACACTTACAGGGAAAGGAGTCTATTCATAGCCAGCATATTTAATCATGTTTTACTTTATACTTTTCACAACAGAAAAATCCTGGTCATAAAAAGTGGGATAAGTTCATAGTAAAGTAATTTCTCATCTTCAGAAAAAGTGGCAAAGCTGACATTAATATAACCCCCATAAATAGGAAACAGCTTATCTACGGAATTGATCATTATTTTAAGGATTTCAGTCAAGTGTGTCATAGAACGAAACAGCATTCCTGATTTGAGGGAATATGTGCTTTTCTACAAGTTCAATTCCACGTTCCAGTCAGCAGATGGCATTATTCAGATATGCGTTTTCAATTAAAGACAAGCTTTGCTTTTAAAGACAACCACAATAATTCCCCAAACATTTAGCACACGTTTGTTTGCAAACTAATGGTTATAATTTGTTTCTCTGTGAAGAATTGTAAGATCTTAACATATGTATACAGATAACCTACTGTATATCAACTGCAAAGAGGGGCTGCTTTTCCAAAGTCCATGTATTCAAGAGGTTCAGTTATTGAGTCATGGCAGAAGCATTGGTTTGCTGGGAAATAAATCAATGTACATGTGTGGAAAGGGACAGAGACTGGTGGGGGATAGGAGAAGGTTCTGTAGTCAAGCAGGCACGGGTGACAATGATGGTTGGGATTTCTGTGCAACAAAGGCACCTCAAATGGGAAGTTCAAAGCCCACTGGATTTCTTGTAGATCCACAGGTATTTTTCTGTACTTGCAGCATTTCTAAAGCGATAAAACATGGGTGGTGTGTGTGTTTTTAATGTAATATTCAGTGGTTGGAGTTGTATAAAGGCTAAGGTTTAGGAGTTTGGTTGATATAGGATATGTTCAGAGGTTGGGCTTATGTTAAGGGTTAGGTATAGGGACTGGGCTTATGCTAGGGGTTTGGTTAATAATATAGGTTAGGTTTAGGGTTGAGTTTATTTCTTATATTAATTTTAGTCTAAATAATAAGATATTTTTATTTATTTTTTTTTAAACAGAATATGTTTTTAGCCATCATCAGTGACACATATTCAGAAGTGAAAACAGATATGGCTCAGCAAAAAACTGAAATGGAGTTGGCTGATCTTATAAAAAAGGTAAGTTTTATATATATACCATATATATAAAAAGTTATATGCATACACCAGAGTAACATACATCTCCTCCGGGAAAATAATATACAGTATATGTGGTCGCTTCTTTCTTCTTCTTACACCTCACTGTCGTAAAGAGGAATTAAAAACTTTCTGATCCCAGTAAAAGCAGAAAGAATCGGGATCATGAAAAAGGCTGCAACCGTGAACCTTATTTATACAAAGGTTGTGATACACATAATGACAAGAAAAAACCTGATCTTTTTCATGATCCCAATTTTCAGTATAAAGCTAAGATCAGGAATACAGGGACATGACCACAAACTAGCAGGAGGAAAGTTCAAAAGTAACTTTAGAAAGTATTTTTTAATGAAAGTGTAGTTGATGCTTCCAGCAGAAGTAGTGAGTCAGTTAATAGTGAGTGAATTCAACCACTTCAGGACTAAAGGACGTACCTGCACTGCCTGTGATGTCTTTGCACCCCGCTCTGCCCATTGGATCAGCATGCAAACACTTCCAACCCCATTCTCACAATTCCACCTGCACACGCTTCCCGCCCCACCTGTATGATCCCCTTTGACACCAGTGCAGTGACACGCGATTGTTCACTCTCTGCCACTGCACCATTGTGCAGTTATTCACTCGCCATCACCGCACAGACTCAAACTTCTTAACTCACCACCACTTCACTGATGGACACTTATTCGCTTAGTGGCACTGCACTGACCTCCAGTTTTTCACTTGCATTGCATTGCACTGATATGATTCTATTTACTTGCTTGCACTGAGCTGACCACAACACTGGCTTATTCACTCACCAACTCATTCAACGAATGGGCACACTTTTACTAGTCTGGAGGGGACATTTTGAAGGGTAAAACAAACTGCAATTGCAGCACGATTAAAACAAAGCTTTACATTTTTCTAGGGTTGTAGCAAAGCAATGGTGAAGCTAAAACTGAGGAAGACTACGGTGGATGACATTTCAGAGAGTCTCCGACAAGGAGGAGGAAAGCTGAACTTTGATGAGCTAAGACAAGACCTAAAAGGGTAAAGTCATGGTTCACAGAAGGGGTTGGGAGCCTATACTCGAGTGACATTTGCAAATCAATTAGTTTGTATTTCTAAGGTTGTACAGTATACATCTAACAGGAAATACAGCATGTATAATTAAAGTGATTGTCAAGGCAAAAACTTATTTTTCTAGTTTTGTAGAGTGGGGATGGATTAGAACTCCTGTCAGGTTTTTACTGCTCTCTAGAACTTTGTTAGAAAGATTAACTATCACTTTTTTTTCCCACATAACCATTTAACCATACAGGAAGTGAGAGGAAATCTGCAACAGGGACAGAAATACAAACCTAACAGGGGTTCTAGGTTTACTTTTGCTAAAGAAAATGTATTTCAGTCTGTGTTGCTGTTGTAGAGTTCTCCTCACTTCCTATCCAGTAAAATTATGTCAACCGGACAGAAAGAGAGGGGAGATCACTCCAGGCATTGATAGCTGTAAAAGCTTGATTGAGGTTCTAACCTATTTTCCACTCTGTCCAAAGCTAAGAAAAAAAAACATTTTAGCTGAACATGCACTTTAAGAGCAAGTATGGATACTGCCATGTACAAATATATAATGCAAACTAAATTAGATACAAGGTTTTGAAACCTTAACATATTTGTAATAGTCCTATTTTTGCAAGTGTATAGTCTGCCTGATGAGGAATTTAAATTAAATTTTTGTTTTTCTTCAGGAAAGGCCACACGGATGCAGAAATTGAGGCCATTTTTGCTAAATACGACCAAGATGGAGACCAGGAACTTACTGAACATGAACATCAGCAGATGAGGGATGATCTAGAAAAAGAGAGGGTGAGTAAACTTAAAGCTGGCTTTACACCTATGCATTGTATTTATCACCATGTGGTAAAGCACCATGCACGTATTAGTATGTTGAGGTGCCATTCATTTGGAATGGCACCTTCCTGAACTAAAGGAATATAGCTGCATTGCAGAACATTGCAATACATAGCACACTGCCCTGCGTTGTGCAGTGCATTAGGAAAAAAAGCACAGCTGCATTTGTTTTGTCTGTTGTGGTTGTGTTGTGCCCCCTTCACATTCACTAATAACAATATATATCCAAACACCAATGTCAGATCAGATAAAAATCCAATCCTTAGCACTGCAGGGCCACAACATTTCATTATCTGGTATGCAGGTAAGTGTCTACTCCTTATTATAGTGTAGGGGTAGGCAAACTCTGACCTTCCAGCTGTGGTGAAATTACAAATGCTATTATACATCTGCCTCTAGGAGTCTTGGCTGTGGTTGTTAGAGTCTTGCAATGCCTTGCAGAGTTTGTAGTTGCACCACAGCTAGAGGGTCAGAGTTTGCCTACCCCTGCTATAGAGTATAATTTGAGTGAATCCTCATACAGCCCAGCTTAGGCCGCAGTAGTTAAAACTGGATAGTTGCCTGCTCTGAGATCAGTACCTACTGTATTTCTAATATTTTTGTTCAGTATGAATTTATTTAAATTGTGGCTGAGGAAGGGTCAGTTAGTCAGTTAGACCATGGTTAGTCACAATGCGCCTATCCTTTAAAAATGTGTCTCCATTTTACCAGTAACCAGTGACTCTCAGCATGTTTAGATGTGGCTTACAGCAATTTTGCTGGGGAGATTCTCCCTGTGTATTTGTCCAGGTGACCATTGTCTTCATAGCAGAAAGTAAGGGGAAATCCAAATTGTTTCAGTTGCCTCTAGAACAGAATTCGAGGAAAAATCTTCTTCCATTGTGGGCACTGGAAGCACATGTAACAGGGTGACATGTACACAAGCAATTTGGGGATAAGGACAAAGTATTGTCACCGATCTCTGAATTATACAAGATTGTTAGTGATTAGGTATATATCAACTTTAATCCTTATGCTGCCAGAGCTGGTTTTGATATTGTTTTTTGTTGTTGTTTTTTTTGACCCGTTAAAATGCACATTTTAGGCCTGAATATTGATAAAAGTCCTAATATTTTATATATTTTCTAAAATCAAAGACCCTGGAAAATAAAATGTTGGTAGTTGCAATGTTTTATGTCACACAATATTAGGGCAACAGGTTATCAAACCCAAATTTTCAGTAAAGAAAATGCATTAAAAATGAATTGTAGTGAGCACCTAAATCACTTCCAGCACATAGCTGATAGCTGACTGAATAAATGTAAACTGACTCCTGGCAGCCAGGAGTCCATTTGATGGGCCATGTTGCCATGGAAGTGGTACTCACATCTGTGGCAGCTAAAAGGGTTAAAGACATAGTTCTCCTTTTGCAAAAATGTTGTAACTGCACCCACATTAATAATAAAAAAACTGGGTCTTTTCTAAATGTTTGCAGTGAAGCCTGCAGAGCAATGCAACCGCAATCAGTGCGATGCGGATGTAGAGCACAGGTTATTGCATTGTTTACACCCAGCTCCGAGTCTGTACACCGGAACCCCACCATTCAGATACCTTTTTTGCCTCTTTTATCAGACGGTCAAGTGATGTAACCCATGTTCTTCTGTACCTCAGTGTCCAATAGTGGGAAGAGATTAGTTTCAGTGTGTGACAAAGCTCTGAACACCGATCTTTAGATGAAAGAACACATACCCGGCATCTCTTTAGACACGCATTTTACTTATCTTCACTATAAAAAGGGGGGATTTGTTTTGCAGTTCATTCAAGATCGCTGGAAAGGCAAATAACATTGCTTGAGATTTCAGTTCAGTGCACAGAAAGTTACAAGGAAACTATATTTCTGGTAGGATCAACAGGAACTTGCAGAAAAGTTACTTAGAAAGAACGAAAGCAATAAAGCCATTACATCTCAGGGCTGGAAAGCTGCAGTATATAACACTTTTGATCTTGGGTTTAGATATACTATAAGAACCAGCTGTAATAGCAGCAGCTGTAGTCCCTACACCCCTCTGGTATACCAATATGTAAGACTTCTTTTTATCTTGAGGCCCCGTAATGTCTTGTGTCCTTCAACTGAGATTACCGTCAGTTTTTCCATGTCATCACACAGCATAAAATGAAGATGCATGTGAATCCACCCATCTCCTTTGACCCACTGATCATGATGATTTTATTGCTTTAGGTTTAGTGTCCCCATTTAGGAGCACGTTCTTCTTTGTGGTAGTGTAATTTCAAGGACTAATGATGTGAATAGCTGTACTTACACTCATAAAACAAGCTAATGAATAATTCCGAATATATGGAATAACACATCTAAACATTATCTCATCTTCTTATCTTGCCTGTTCATCAGAAAGACATAAGGGTGAATTTATTGTACTGTTTCTGTTCAATGGTTAGATGCATACCTTTACAATTTGTTTCCTACAAATATTCCAAGTCCATGGAACACAGTTCTTTGCTGCATACTTACCTCACTACTGTTGTGTTACCCAGTTTGCTGTCCCAGAATGCATTTGTATAACATATTAAACAATGCTTTCTATACTTTGGCTGCTTAATCAGCCTCCAATGCAGGTCTTGTATTGCCTAACCAACCACCTTTCTGATTATATTTTTACTACATTGGGGCAGGTGTATGACTCTTTCTACAGGTAGAAACGTGACATGACCCTGGAATATTTTTTAAATAGTCTCCCATCTACAGCCGTCACTTTTAGCTGTGGTAGTGAATGATTTAAAGATATTGACATGCTTGAAGTGGTACCTTTTTTTTTTATATGTCTCTGTGTCAGAGTTGGCACTGTTTAGTAATTAAGAGATTAATGCGATACACAAGGAGTCAGAATCTGCATTCTTGGTATTTCATTAGGGTAAATTGTAACTCCCAGATCTTGCATGCATCATGATGTGATCAGAATTGTAGATTCTGACTGAACAGCAATGTGAGCTGCAGTGGAAACAATATCTATGCAGCTACCAAACTAGATCCTCATTTCCTTATTCCAGCTTCAGGCCTTGTCTGAACCCCACTAGAGGACACATAGGGCTAGCCTATGCGTCCAACCGATGGGTACTAGGCTCTGCATTGTGGTGCATTCCAGATCTAACATACTGGTTAGGTTAGCAGTGGAGCACTTTCCATGTCCAGAGCCATGACGCAGCCACAGGTGTCACCACATTGACTGCAGAGGCTCACAATGCACTCCAGCGCCATCCCCTGCAGAGGCTCACAATGCACTCTAACCCTCCATTGGCCTTAGATCAGACTGGACCACTGGTACCAATGACCATATCTAACTCAGAGTCCCAACATTCTAATCTGAAGAGACTTTTGTTGCAAAAAAAGCAGACAACAGGTAGCGATAATGGCAAGTTATAGACATAGCAGTCTGCTAAACAAGCTAGGAAAATGCATGACTTAATTTCACATTCATTATCATGAGGCTGTTAGATTGTTTGTTTTTCTCATGATCAGCAATCAGTAGCTGCATGTTTGTTTCCCACAAGGAGGACCTGGAGCTTGATCGGAGCTCTCTGCCTCGTCCCATGAGCGGTCGCAGCTTTCCACGCAGCCTGGATGACTCAGAAGAGGATGATGATGAAGACAGTGGGCACAGTTCTCGCCGCAGAGGCAGCAGCTCCAGTGGAGTTTCTTATGAGGAGTTCCAAGTGTAAGTAGCCTGTGCCCCAAAGAATTAAGAATTGGTTCAAGGTTACCACACTAGCTACACACTCGTATGTCCTATCTAACAGCACAGACCACAAATTCCTGCTATTAATATGCACCCTTCCAATTTAGTTTAACTTTACTACTGGGGACCTGGAGTACAGGTTCACTTAACTGCATATAAAATGCTTTGGATATGTCACACAAGAATGCAGGTTGGTAACTGCTATATATTGGGAACTAAAGCTATATATCAGATGCTAACAGGCTATGAAAATGTAGAATGCTTGGGCAAGGTATAAACAAAGACGTTGTACTAGGACCATATGAGGTCCAATCTGAAAACTGAATGTGTCCACCATCATGAATTGCTGCTTTTTGACTAATGTATAATTGGCACTGCACAGAAAAGGGTGGCAGTAGGTTATCATAACATCCGTGAAACAAGTTGTGCACATAATGCAGAGGCCTAGAATACAATCCAGTATGTTTAAGTCTTTGGACTGAAGAACTTTCTTTTTTTACAGTCTTGTGAGAAGAGTGGATCGGATGGAGCATTCTATTGGGAGCATTGTGTCCAAAATTTATATATATAAACTTTATTTTGTATGGTTGGGAAGAGTACAAAAATGAAATGTTCTTGTTGCCTAAAGCAAACAATAAGCTGCCCACTGCAGTGCAGAGATGGAAATTATATAAGGATTGTAATTGTTTTCTATGTGCTACAGTATTATTATTTTTTTGCTAGCATATTTTTGTTTTACACATGGCCTATTAATCATCTTATACAAAAACTCAATAAATCTAGGTTCTGAGCCAGATTATGGTGGCCCTCGATTGCCATTGATAGGAGCAACAGGGTTGGTCCTGCCAGCCTTATGTGTCTCATGTATTGCTATACTGTTTGAAAAGGAACAACTAGCAGTAATGTTTCATCTCTGCACTGCATTGTAGTGTAATAATAAACGCTAAGACTGTAATATTATAAACATGTAATCAATGTAAGCTCAATTTAAACTGTATGCTTCCTCCTAGGATGAACGGCTTGGCCGGGACAATGATATGCACCGAGAACAAATGGAGCGGCTAGTGAGGGAGGAGTTGGAACGATGGGAATCCGATGACACAACTTCTCAAATGAGCCACCGCCTAGGGACTCCTAGTGGAACTAATTGTCAGCCTCGCGCCAAAACCTCACGTCCTCCATCTTCCCAGTCTACCGAGGGACTGGAGGGGGGAGGAGTGGCTACCAGTGTCTCTAATAGCCAGGTGTAATTATCATCAGTGTAATCAAGGTATTGTCTCTCTTAAAGGAGAGTACACTAGAGATTTGGGTAGGCGGCCTGTGGTTCTATCTTAAGGCCTTGCCAGAAAAACTCCACCAAAGAGTCTCATGTAGCCTCACAGGAACCCAGCCTATCAAATTGGTAGTAAACCGCTGTGTGAAAGTTGGCTTTTTCCCATAATGTGCAAGTATGTCGTGCATACTTGCACATTATGGTACACTTACCTTACAAGTATTCCTTCTCCAGCACTGTCAGATTCCTTTTGATCCCCTTGCTCTGCCCCCCTCCACTGCCTCCACTTCTGGGGTTCCATGGGATTCATCTTTAGCTGTCCAAAGAAGAACAGCATTATAGCTTGTAATAAAACCTACCTTTTTTATTAGTTTCAGTCATGGACCTAAAACAAGTATGCAGATTAGGAAAATCAGAAGTCCTATAGAGTCCCTGCTAAACCAGGGACTCTTAAGTTCTGAAGGGTCAGCGTGGCAGCCAGGTAACTAGCATTTTCTGAAGGAAAGGCAAGCTATGGCAGCCCCCAAGTTTCTCTTTTGACAGTTTCTCATTGAAAGAAAAACCCAGCTACCACTGGAAAGTATGCAAAAGCTTTTGACCCCCAAAGTATTGCCCATGAACCTGTTTATTGTTCAGTCACCAACTTAGTATTTGACCAGCTTTAAAACTCATTTGTGCACCTGACTAGCTGAGTCAATCTGTTGGTACTATAATAGTAATGATTAGACGTGTAGCCTTTCTAGCCAGCCACATACTGAACGTGATTGGCTGCTGCAAGTGAATTGACATGTACATAATGGTACTCTTTGCTCTGCAAGAATCCTTCCTGAGCACTGTGACTGGAAAACCCTAACGTTACATCAGCTACAGCCTAATGAGTAGTAGCCAGGCAAATGACATGAAGAAAAAGTTAGTAAAAGTTTGTGGAGTATTAGGGCCAAGTTAGCAAACGTTTAGTGCACATAACCTGACAAACGTTTTCTAGTACATTTGTATCGACCAAATGCACCAACATACACTAAATGTTACACCAAAATATTTCCAAATGCAGTATCAATGACTAAATTGCAGATTTCTTTCTTGTCCATCGAGGGACGCAGGAATTCTTAAACTGTTGGGTTATATTGCCAAATACAGGAGGGCCCAGTAGTATTTTGCTGCTGTCCTACAGGTATGGACTCCTTCTCTTCAGCTCCGCTAAAGACAGGCTAACTAATCCCCCCCCCTCATGTTTTTAATAGCCTTGTTTTCTCTTTGTGATTGTTTTTTTCTTCTTCAAAGACTTCAGTCAAGAGCTTCTGCTATTTTGCCAGTCAAGTTTGTCTGTACATAGCAGCTATCAGGATTGGTGTATGCCTGGAGATAGCCTTGGAGGCTGTAACAGGAGCCCTCTGGACTGGACAGTGGAAAGGCTTGCCTGGAATGTGACCTTCGGGCGATGGGCTCTGCTTTTTGGTGCTTTCCAGACCTTAATGTACTGGTTGGTTAGCGGTGGTCCACTTTCCAGTCCAGCACAGCCTCAGGGGTGACCCTATCTCTGAAGACCTAATTAGGGAATTAAGGTTACTCAGACCCGAGTAGGCATCTGAATGATTGCGAGGCTAACCTGGAATGTGACCTTTTGGCATTGAGTGCCACTTTCCATACCTTTGTGTAACTGTGTTAGTTAGCCACATAGTGCTTTCAGGGTCAAGAACCATGGTACAACCTCTGCTGTGACCCTGTCTCAGAACACCTAATTCGTGAGTTAAGGCCATTTAGGCTGAAGCACCGTGAGCTAAGTCACTATTTGCAAAATTGATGCCATTTCAAATCTCCCACCTCCTCCAGTTCCACTGTGGTAAGGGTGAGAGATCGAGCTCAGACGTCATCTGCTGGGCAGAGTGCTGCATTTGTGCGCTTCACACTCTTTTTCCCAATTTTCAGCTTAGAGGAAGCACCATCCTGCTGACATTCCTCCTCTTTGAAGAAACACATGGATCTCTAGTCTGCTGTTGTCATCTCTTATTCAGAGTCCCAACAATCTCCCTATAGAGGCTGTGTTTGAGGCACTGCCAGTGACCCAGATTTGGCTCTCATGATTCTGATTCAGGCATTGGTCTTTCAGATTATTCTTCATCACTGCTGAGTTCAAAAGTTCTTGAACCTGTTAGTGGCTTTTGCCCACCCCTCGGTTGGGCTGCTGTTTTTGGAAGTCTAATAATTCCTGTGTCCATCAATAGATGGGAACAGAAAGAAGATTCTTGCAGTTACAATTCAATCTTTTTCTTGGAGTCCAGTGAGAGAGACAGGTCCCACCCCTTTGTGTTTTTTCGTAGTTTTTGTACTGCTTGCTCACAAAACAGAGGTATGCTGGATAGAGGAGGGGATATGCTGGAGGCTGGTTTGTTTCTTTTTCTTTGCCATTGTCCAAGCCTCCTGTAGGCGGCAGTAAAACCCAACGGTTTAAGAATTCTGTGTTCCTCAATGGACATCAAGAAAAAGATTTTACGATAAGTACATTTTTTTTTTCCAGTAAACCAAATGGTGGTATGAAAGTCCAAAGGCAATAGAGAGACTAAAGCTAGAAGTACATAAACAAAAAAAAAAGGCGTTTCTCTTTTTATATTGCGCACTACGGTATTTTAGCTGTTAGATTTGATATAATGAAAAGTACATTTATTACATAGATTTTTATTTTCAGTGAGTTTTTATTATTCACAATTTATAAACCGCATGAATTTTGGTACATGGATATTCTGGATTATATTTCAGATACCTTTTATAGACGCCAACTAAATATTATATTGGCAATTTAGGGACAAAGACGTTTAAGAAATGTGACTTCAAGTTGGGCTTTTATTCAGGTAATAGTGCAGTGGAAGCTTGGAATTGTAGCACACATACGTTATAAAACATATATCTACTTGGTAGAATCCGAGTTTGGCTGCAACAGTTAAAAATACATTTAGAAGGTTGTTGTGAATGGAAGGGGACTCTTTTTTTTTTTTTAAAGAGACCCTGTCACAAGACAAGGAAAACCTTCCCATAAGATAAGTGCATTTCACATATAGATACAACAAGATCACAAAATAAATCAAACCAACTTGTAAATAATGTAACACGTTGTTACGGTTTTATTATATTAACAAACTTCATCTTGAAGTGCTAAAAGTTTCATGGATATCCGTGTAAGTTTTATGATTGTGTTCAAGCACAAGGACTATGGGTTACTGATATATTTGATGTCATAGTTTTTAGCTGATATTATAATCTTGTGTATCACACAATATGCTTATTTTTTTATATATCAATGTGTTTGTATTCATATAATCTACTAAGTTCACACTATGCATTTTGTTGATCTGACAAAACACAAATTAGCATTGTTTTAGTGTTGGGTGGCCCCATTCTCCTGCCGGCTAGCTTCCATAGGCAATAGGTGGATGTAATTTAATTTGAAACAATTCATTTGAAATAGCCAATAGCAGACTGGCTATTGAAAAGCCACCCACTGAGCAAAGAATCGGTCCTGAGAGAGAAAGTTACCTCTCTGTTCATTGGGTGACTGCAATAGCCTGCTATTGAAATAGAGGGGGGGGGAAGGTGACACTAGGGGGGTGAGTGATCGAGGCTGCTCCCTAGGCAGCAGTGCGCCCTAGGCAGCTGCCTAATTTTCCAAGTGGCAGCACCGGCCCCGAGTGTAGGGGTTTTTGCTAAAGAGTGTTGCAGTTAGCAATATGTTTTTGTAATCCAAATGAAAGTCTTTTTCCCCCCAAAATAACACAACAGAAAGCCAAAGTGCATAAGATGAAATTGTAGACCTATGGTACAGTCTAGAACATTGAAGAATATTGTTACACCAAGCACTTTAAAATAATAAATAATTTGTATCTTTTTGGAAATTGTTGTGTCTTGCCTGTTATTTCTTGATCTCAATTACACCTAAGCCAGTGGTGGTAACCTTAGTAAATCTGGGGCTCAGTCATTCAACTGAACAATTTTAAATAGAAAGTGTATATTCCAGGCTGACCCAATATGTTCGCTGGGTTGTACATTGTATATTCCACACTGCCCCATTAAATGCTCTGTGCTGTACATTGTAATTACCAAGCTGTGCTCTTTCTGTATGATTCCTTATGCAACACTAATTCTTTGTGCTGTGCTGTACATTTCATATTGCTACTCCATTTAAAACACTGAAATATGCCTCCCCTCCCTTCCACAGATTTGCACTCTGTTACTGCCACTTTCTCTTCAGTCCTTTGTAACCTATTATTGTAATTAGGATGTTGTACAATATTGTTTTGGGGGTTTTTTCTGTTGGGTGTCCCATTAACATTTTTGATATGGAACCCTTTGATTTCTACCTTCAACCCTTGGGCTCTGAGGTTGACCATTCTAACGTAAAATCAACCTCAGAGACCCGCAGGGTTGATTTTAACTTAAATCACAAAATATATCCAATAGTAAGGTTTTATATATTTTTAAAATGTTTGGTTGTGCCAGACTATCAACAGGCCCCATTTTCTTCTTCATACACTTCATACCAAACACTTCCTAGACTTCAGTTTTCTTCATAGTTAAGGATTAAAAGATTGCAGACACAGGCTAAAGGCTATTTTATATTTTTATTACTAAATTAGGTATTTTATCTTGTGTTCTCCATCAAACTAGTTCTACTATGTTTGACCCATTTTTGGTCAAGCTCAAAATAACCTCTTTTAAAAATTATTAATTTCAACAGAACTAGACGGTATGTCTGTCGTGAATAACAATACTGTACATGTATAGATTTCAGCATAAAATAACTTTATCAATAAAAAAAATCCTGATGTACTGGGTGCCCTCAGCTCATTTCCTTCTAATCAGTTGGTAGCTGATGCAAGCGGAACCATGTTGTCCTCTGCTGGTAAACTCGCCCCTCCTTGGAGTTTTGCTTGGCTCCATCATCCAAACTGGACAGGCTTGAATCCATGTGCAGGGATCCACTTGCATAAGCAGGATCAGTACGCCATGATCTATGTCTTTTCTCCCCGAAGCCTCTTCATAGTCTGCTGTGCATGATTGAAATGGAGGCCATTCTGATGATCCTCATTTTTCAGGACTGGTCGTGGCAGATGTGTTGTTTTTTCCGGCCCTGGTCCCTGGCAAACCTCCCAGATCGACTGTCCTGAGGACCATTTTGCCATACTGCTTCTCAGTTGCTGGCTTTAACGGGATGGCCGTTGAAGTCTAGGTTCTAAGGGACAGGGGCACCTGTGATTTCTATGATCTCTCTTCAGACATGGAAAGTATGCTTCACTTGAAGTCCAGGGCTTTCACCCCAGGAGCTTCTCCATGGCATGAATCCTCTCCTTTCTACGGTTAGGTCTGGATCAATGTTTGGCTCTCAGCACCAATAAAGGACAAGTCTCTGCACTTTCCGTTCTGCTTCAGAGATTATTGTTCTCACACTCTGATTAAAATCTTTGTGCATTTCTGCACTTTCAGAGACTTTCAATTTGATTAAGAGCTTTGTGCAGTGGGTCTCCCATGTGGTTTCCCCTATCTGTTTTCTTGGGACTCCGTTGCATCTAAATCTGGTTTTCTCAAAACCTGCTTTGGCTAAAAAGCACATCAGCATACAGCTCTGCATGCTGATGTGAAATCATCTTACATTCATTAGTTATACATATTTTTATATTACTTACAGTTTCTTGTTTTCTACTTTATGGTTCTCTTTGGTAAAAGTGATGTAATGTGCCAAAGCATTGCATCCTGGGAAAGTTATATCAGCGAAGCATTGCTGTAAAATCTATCTAATCTCACGAGATCTCAGGGAAAGGCATGTTCCTTCCCTGAGATGATGTGCATGGTCACATGTTCCAGGAAGTAAAGATGGTTTCATCTGCCCTTGGTAAAAATGGCCACTCTGAGAAGAATGGTGAGGAAAAGAAAAACAAGGTATGTAAAGAATAAAAAGCCGGCAATTATCTAAGTATCTTTGTGTAGACTGTCATTACTCAACATTTCTAAAGGTGCCTTTGTTGTTATTTTGAAGATACGGGTAAAGTTTCTCTTTAAGAACCCAATATTTGAGCCCATTAAGAGATATTCCTCCCTCTACTCTCACCTACAAGGTTGCTTTCCTTGTAACTATAACATCTGTAAGGGCAAGTCTCTAAACTGGTGGCCTTATCATGCAAAGAACACTTTTGGTCTTGCATAAGGACAAGGTGGTGTTGAGGGCCCTTCTTACCTGAGGTAGCCTTTCGCCTTAACCAGGACATTGTTTTCCCATCCCTTTGTCCGGCTGCAATTCAGCAAAAAGGAAATTCCCTCCATTGTCTGGATTTGATTTTCTGGATGTGTACGTCTATCTTTCAGCCACTGCTTTTTTAAGAAAGACCGATTCCCTTTTGACCTTGCAGATTGACCCTGCAGGGCGCCCCAGCTTCCCAGGGGGAAGTAAGCAGCACAAGCAGACTACCAGGACAATAAGGCACAATCACACCTGGGCCACAGCGTTTCATCGCTTTTTTTAGCACGTTTCACAGGCATTTTCTGCAAAAATGCACACAAACATGCTAATTGGCATGTTTCCATTAAAGTCTATGGAGCAAAACGAGCTGATAAGTGCCACAAAAGAAGCTCAGGGACATTTCAAACAAGCGTATTTTGACACGCGATTCAGCGCATTTGCGTGAAAGGCCCACATAGGAATACACTGGATTTTAATTTGCATGTGTTTCAGCGACGAAACGCCCTGGTGTGAACAGGGCCTTAATCTCAGATCTGCCCCAATGCTTACTATTACAGAAGAATCAAGAAGGACCAACAGACATGAGACAACTGTTAACACAAGTCTATGATTAGCTTACCACGGGTACCTTATTCCAATCTATTTAGATGTACTTAATAAGTCTAATACTATTGAGTTTCTTATTGCAGGTTGGATATAACATACCGACTGTAGAAACAGAAGCCCTATGCCAGTTGGCTAAACAGTGATTTTTGCATGACTGCTAGAAAGGGTGCGTATTTTCGTTGAATCAGGAATGCCTTTTAAATACAATGAGGGGGAATTTATCAAAACTGGAGCAGATTTGCATGGCAACCAATCAGCTTCTATCTCTCATTTTCAAATCCCAGCTGAGCAAGCTTAAGAGAGATGCTGATTGGTTGCCATGGGCAACTGCTCCAGTTTTGATAAATACCCCCCAATAACTACACGCACTGATAAGACCATTTGTTACAGACTGATATAAAATAAAGCACACATCCTTCAGATGGAAACATTTTTATTTCCATTTTCATTTTAAATCAAATGCCAACGTTTGTTTTTTAGGGCAAAGATACCATTTGATTGCTGTCACTAAATATACTGAATCTACCCTTGTTATGGTCGTTACCAAAAGAGAACAGGTTAGCTGTCTGAACAAACATATAAAAATAGAATAGTTACTAAAATTAGAACATTGTTAATACAGCATGTTATAAACATTTTAGCCATAAATAAATCCTGACATTTACATCATGTAAAAGAACACTTATTACATGAAACACAGTAAAGAGAAGCATCTTTTAGATATCTATACACACAACAAGCCAAATAGCTGGTATAACAAAACAACTTGGCGCAATACCTTATAACAAACACATACAGGGTTATTCACAAAAGGGTGAAGGGTTTGGAGAAGGCAGGAGACGTGAACAATCTAGACCAGGGGTCAGCAACCTTAAACACTCAAAGAGCCATTTGGACCCGTTTCCCACAGAAAAGAAAACACCGGGAGCCACAAAACCCTTTTGACATCTAAAATGAAGATAACATTGCATATATCGTTTTTTACCTTTATGTTATGTATAGCATGTATATGTGGGCTTAGTAACGCACTGGACTCTCGGCTTAGTAACGCACTCCACCCAAACCGCCCCCCCCGCGCTCCTCATTCGGACTCACCTGCCAAGCCTCACAGCCAGCATCCCAGCCAGACGGTGTGCACTGAAGAGGGCGGGGCATGTGACACACACTTCTCCTCTCCCGCCGCCTGTTACTAGGGATGCAGCCGGGAGAAGAGGTGAGTCACAAGACCCGACCCTTACTGAAAAGCCTGTCAGCAGTGCGGGGCCCTGGGACCCTGCACTGCCGCATATTCCACCCCGGGGGGGGGTGCCTCACTGGGCCCCACCACAGCCTGAGGCCCCAGGAGTAGTTCCACCCCTGGACAGGGAGCCGCAGCAGAGGGATGAAAGAGCCACATGCGGCTCCGGAGCCGCGGGTTGCTGACCCCTGATCTAGGACAACATAGCTGAACTGGAAACAAGTTTCAATTCAGCTCACTTTCCAGTTTAGCCATGTTGTCCTAGATTGATCACTTCTCCAAACTCTTCACCCTCTTGTGAATAACCCTGATAGGCAACTCACAGGCTTGTGCAGTCATTTGGCATAATGGCTTCTGATTACCTCAGAAAAAATAACATTCAAACCAAACGTTGCACACGCATTAGCAATGAAACTAGAGTAGTGCATTTTCCGTGGCGTGTGAATGATCATATAACGGCTGCTTTTCTCATCCTAACTGTGTTTCACACATTCTGATTAAGAGGTCACTTGGTGATTCAAACTATAGAACATATTTACATATACACATCTACAAGCAGTGGCAATAGAAAGTGCGGCTCTGCTCCTGCTCAGGTAAGTTTCTTCATGAAACTCAGCTTCAGGTAGGCGATTGTGAGAAATATAAGTGTCATTATAGCCAGTGCCAGATGATTCTGCCACAAGCCCCAGGCGTCGGTGGGGATGCCCTGATTATTAAGATAATCTTCTCCCGTGGTTCTGAAGAAAAAAAGAAAAGAAGCCGGTTTTAAGCAGGTAAAAACATGACTGATATTTGCCTTGCAATAAAAAAGCAGAAGTGTTCAGAATACTACAAAAAGAAAACGTAAAGTGCACCAATTTATTGGCAACGAGTTTAAAGAAGAACTCTGGGCATGTATAAAATTAACCCTTGCAGTGCCGTGGGGCTAGCCCCGCACTGCAAAGGGTTAAGTGATCACTTTGGTCTGGGTCTAAAAAAAAATTAAAAAGGTAAACGCACCTGATCCTTTGTCCCGCCTGCCAGCTAGAGAGGACCCTAAAGCCTCTTATTCCCCGTTCTCCAGCCGGCAGTCTAAAGACCCACCACTCTTCCCCCTCCCCCTCCTTTCCAGCTGTGGAATTTCCCTTGGTCTCCTCATATCCAAAACAAGTAAATGGAAGTGAGGACGTCACTGGTCTTTAGGCCGCTGGCTGCAGCCCAGGAGAGAAGAGGCTGCAGGGACTGTTCTAGCAGGCAGGACTGAGGATCGGGTGAGTATATCTTTTTTATTTTAGACCCTTCTTTAAATAAAACCTGACAAAGATCCAAACATTTCCCAAATCTATGCAAAATGAAGAAGAAAGTTTTGGCAGGAGTTTCACTTTAAAATGTTCCAAACAGTGAACACATGCTCTTTTTTCTTTAAACACAACTATATATCTACCCAGTAAACTGTGCTATCCTTCGTGAGCTGGAATACTGTGCAATACATGTGAAAATGGAAGCTTTCCACCGTCCATTATCTTTAAGGCCTTGTTCACACCAAGCGCGGAGCAGATCCGGACCAGAGCAGGTGCAGACCGGATCAAAACTGCGTCCAATGTATTCCTATGGTATTTTGCCCTCCAGTTCACATCGCAGCGTGCGGATCCAGACCAGATCCAGACCGGATGAAAAAACTGCGGCAAGCCCTATTTTACCTGCTCTGGATCTGGTCTGGAACGCATCAAAAACGCATCTAAAACGCACAAACGCATCAAAAACGCATGCAAGTGCCTGAAAGCCCATGTTAAACGTAAAAAAAAAATATTTTTTTTTTTTACCAAAACGCATCCAAAACGCGTCTAAAACGCGGCACAACCCACTACACTGCGTGTGTGCAGAAACCTGACCGGATCTGGTCTGCATTTGGTGTGAACAAGGCCTAAAGATTGCTATATGTGTAATGTATGTCCTCAATGCTGCGGTAACAGTATACTTACATGAGCAGGGGGCTGCTTGCATTGCAAGGAATAGTGGTGCTGTTTCTGCAAAACAGTAGTCCTGGGAATTCGTTGGCTTGTAGAGCCTGATATCGGAAGAGAAATCAAGCGATCAGACAAGCCTTCCAATTTAACCATTTAGTGTGACTGCAGGAGTCTATAGAGTGTAACAATACAGAAGAACACTGCAATGTAAAACACAATACGTCAAATGCACTAGACTAGATGGTCCACGAGATGGCAGCATTTCATTCACAACTATTGGCTACTATAATCCAATACATTTACGGGGTTGTCACTTCTCCTGCCTTCTCCAAACTCTTCACCTTTTTGTGAATAACCCTGTAAGTTTTGTTATTTGAAGGCCCCAGAGCAAGAATAATGTTTATGCAGGACTTCAACAAAAAGCAGGACGGGCAGGGTTAGGCAACCTCCTCACCTCAGCTGTTGTGTCCCATGAGGTAATGCAAGACTGACAGCCACAGGAATGACTCCCAGAGGCAGATAGATTTTGAGTTTCACCACAGCTGGTGGGCCGTACTTTGCCTACCCATGCCTTGGGGTGTCATATCCTATATTTTGTGACCCCCCACACTATACATTTGGGGCACTTCATTAGGCTAAACACTTCTTACCAGATATTAGGTAGATGTAGACTCTGTAGGACAGTCCATTAGACCAAACACAGCCCTTATCCAGCCATAAGCCACAATGATTTCCAAAAAGGTAAAAGTGCCAAACTACCTGGTGACAGCACTTAAAGCAATCTTTTACAGAATGAAATGCTAGTTGCCTATAAATTATAGTTGCTTGGCTGGTACTGGCATCAATGGACCTAAGTCATGTATGCAGCATGTCAAAGGGGCTGATTTAAAAATGTTCTGTCCAGTGTACAGCTGGGTGGATGGTGTTCACATGCCCTAGATGGCACTGAGGAGCATGGCAAATTCATTTATAATCAGCCCCTTGGAGTGATGTTAGATCTCCTAATCGGATGTTTTTGTTACCGGGTCAGTGATTCACAAGAAAAAAAATATGTTCTTTGGTCAGTATAACACACAATTCTTTTTAAAAGAGGAATATATGTATCACTATTTAGCTGTATACATATAGGGGAACGGTGCAATATGTATATGCTGTCAACATACCTTACTGTATATAAGCTAACTATTTCATAGAAGAGTGAGTGCAGGGATTTACAACATACACCTTTGATACATAGACTTCTATGGCATGTTGTACATTGCTTTCAATGTTGGTTTTTCTGCAGTATCTACCAGAGCCATATCCTACACAAGGCACCTGGGCAGAGCCAAGGGAGGATGCCCCGCTAGTCAATGAGTTACTCTTCTCCACACATTTAGAATGTCAAACGATAATACAAGTGATAAATCATGCTGCAAATAAGCAGCCCTCGTATCCCACAGCTACAAGACTGGAGGTGACAGGAGGAACTATTCTGCCTTCCACCTCTCAGATGGCAAGATATCTGCCCTGTAACTTCAGGACCTTTCAATGAAACACACGGAATATCAGCTTTTAACTATAGTAGCTCATTGAAGAGAAAATGCACAAACAGCTGTGTAATTTACTCACGGTAAGGCCATATCGAGGAATACTGAAGTACTTCAGCCAGGACAGCCAATCCACCACAGAAGTCACATTCACAAGCAAGCCTGAAAAGATCTAAAAAGATATTAAAAAATAGTTTAAAAAAATCCAGATGCTTTTATTATTCCACATTGGTAGAAAATAAGAAAACTGACTTTTACATTGAAAAACATTTCATTAGTGATTAGTATTTTGAATTCCAGTTTGATGCAGATAATACTGGTGATGGCATGGAAGGAACACAGATACAAATTATTTTGCTCAACTTTATGGTTTTAGTAAACCTCCAAACTGGCTTTGCAGAATTCAAAACCTCTGGCAAGTAAAACAGAAAACATGTTTAAAATGCTTATACAGTTGTTTGCCTGAACTTTCAAAATGAATAAATGTGGGCCTAACTGCAAATAGTTTTGACAGGTCATTTTAGTTTCCTTTATTTCCAACTATTATTGTGAAAATATCTTTGTAAAAAGGTTAAAAAAAATAATTCTACTGATTAATGACTCACTGTAATGTTTTAAGATGCCACCATCATTACTGATGTCAACCCCAGGACACATCAAGAAAAGCAAACTGCACTACTCACCAAGTCTTCTACATCAATGACACACCAAGCAGAAATGACTGCACCTAATTACCTTTCCAATAAACTGTGAGGGACACCCTAAAAGACCAGGAGCTAATTGACTTTTAAGGTCACATGGTAATCAAAGCTGTGGCTGGGGATTCCTAGGTGGGTACAAATGTGGCTGCTGTGTCCATTCAAATTAAAGGAGAACTATGAGGTGAGTGAAAACCTCATAGTTCTAGCCGACCTGTGACAATGAGACTGTCACAGGTCGGCTCAGTAGATCGGGAAGTGAGCGAACACATACCGCTGCTCGCTCACCTCTCGATCTATCCCTGCAGAGAGCCGTGACTGTCACTCACGGCTCCCTGCAGGGATTCCCCCCCTCCCCTGTCCGATCCTCCAGCGCTGACTGCCTCTAGATAGGCAGAGCCAGCTGTCACTCACGCAGCTGGGTGGATCTCGACAGTAAAGTCGGGATCCGTCCCGGCGTCTCAGTATACTGAGCTTTGGGTGACTGGAGGACGCTAGTTTGTGTCCTCCCGTTACCCTTAGGAGAACTATGGGAAAAAGCCTTAACCCCATAGTTCTCCTTTAATGACAGGCTGACAGCAACGGTATCCGTTTCTGGCGGTCAGCATAAAATCGTACATGAAACAATTACCTGTGAATCAGGAAAGATGTGACTCAAGTGGCACTGCACTAAAATAAATTAAAATAAAAAACTCCTTTGTGTTGCATTCGTCCATTAAGTGTTGATTCACAGTATTGGGAATAGTGTTTCACTCATTTTCGGCACAGCAGCTTATTATACCTTCACATAGTGCAGTGGTTTTATTATTACACGAATCAGGAAAGATGCTCGTCTCTCTGCATTCAGAGACAAGCCTCTCTCCCGATCTGCAAGTAATCCTTGCTTGTATGAGGACATTTGTGAACAGATATTCATTTGAATTGGCACCATGACCACATCTGTACGGACTCACCTGGAATTCCTACTACAAGAATCCACATGGATCCCCATCTGCACCTTCGATCGTTGTGTGAGTCCTACCAGTCATTTGAATTCCCAGGGGGATTATATAGTAAATCAGGCACACATAAAGATAGCGATTCTCAGGTAACACTTACAATCATGAAGACAAAGCTTATGGTCATAAGTAGGTTAGCGACAGCTACAACATCTTGACCAGCAGCAATAGCCAGAGCCATGGATGTAGCAGTGTAGGAGATCATCGTCAAGGTGAACATCATAATGAAGAAAGATCCTGCTGTAGGTTTAAATCCTGGAAAAGAAAAAAAACACAGAGTCAATGGAGGTGAAAACTGCAGACTTCATGATTCCAGTAAAGCCATCATGAATCAATACAGGAAAAGCAGCAAGAAGTGTTTTGGAATACATCTGAGGATAAAAGGTCCACTTAGAAGCATACAATCTCAGTAGAAAGGTTCCCCCATCAGAATCTTACCAATCATAAAGTAGATAATGCAGGTAAAAATAATGCTTGGCATTGTCCTCATGGGAAGTAGGTCTGCTATCAACTTGGAGCAAAAGTACGATGATAGCCTGTAGTAGCCGCTGATGTATTCATGTCTATAAAATAATAATAATTCATCTATACTCACATATGGACAGGTTTATAAAATAAACTGCACTTGATCACCATTCTTCCAGAGATCATGTGAGCATTTGCAGACATACTAGCTGTCATAACATACAATTTATCATGTCACATCAAGTTTCTGACAACATTTTTGGTCTTATTAGAAAAATCTGCAACTTGCTAGACAATGTGGAACATTTGGGCTACTAGGCACTGCAAACCATTTATAAGACTGGGGAAGGCTGGAAATAGAACAATTATGGGTTCTGCTAGACTTTAATGTTTATTGGATTTTATACTAGCAGATCATGCAATCCTATATTACAACTAGACATTTTAAAGTATCCTTGCACATGTCTTCCAATTCTCTAATTACTGCCATGACATGTAGGTTATACATATGCAAAACATTTGAAATCATCTACACATGCATGTTCTGGAGGACTCATGTGTGGGAATGTAAACAGCTTGGGGAGCGTCTTTATGATAGGTGAATTACCTTATTAAATGTGCAAAGCACATATAAGAAAGTATATAAGAGTATAACATTCAGGTAAACATGCTACACGGGAAACCAGAGAATGGAATTATATCGGAGTGTCTGAACAGTGATCACAATACTCCCACCCAAATTGATAAATAACTGCATGAGAAGCTAGGGCCTGATTTATTAAAGCTGCAATATGTTAGAAGTGGTATATCATGTGAACTGGTCATGTGACATGGCTTGATTCTAAAGAGAGGAAAGGTTATCAATGCATGGAATTTACAAGTCTAATTATAACATGGTCCTGCAGTCATAACAGGAGCTCTGATAGCCTCTGTCTTGGGCTGGGCTCCCCGTCCTCAATCCTGCACACACATAGGGAGCACAGGCTGACAAGTGCTACAATATTCACTATATCCACTAGGATTGTATCATACTCACTGATGTAAGCAAAGCATACCAGAAAGTCCTTAACCCAGAGTTCCCTACTCTCTAAAGACCATTCATGTGGCTGCCCAACTATGACTGGGGAGCTTGGTTTAGGACAGCCATTAAGGGGTTCTTGTATGGTAACAAATCAGGCAACTCTTCTGCACAGTGCCACCTGTAAAGACATCTTCTTTGCACCCATTTTGAAGCTTAATTTCAGGCACACCACTACACAGCTAAAGGCTTTTTGCGGGTAATATCCCTTTTCTGAGATGAAGATACCTAGGGAAATGTGCCCATGTTAATGAGCACTTCTGGTACTTGCAAGTGTATGTTGGGGCTCTGGAGTCATTCCGCACATAATCCAAGTATTGCTTAGATTGGTTTTACTTCTGGCCAGAATGATATATTGTAAATGTACGTCTCACACAGCCGGGTAAGCAATTTAATCCTTCTACCATTGAAAAGGGGCACTCACATAAATATCTTCTTCTCCACAATGAAGAGTTCAATCGCTGACACACTGCTGAAACACTGATTTGTAGTGATGAAGAACAAGGACCCAACTCTAAAAAGTAAACACAATATCACTGTTATTAAGCAAAGAGATACAGGCCATTTCCACTTAAAATTGTTGCTGGATACAATATATCACATCACCAGTTGTATGCAGAATAACTACCAGTGACTAAAAATGGTACTTTATCTTTACACAGTGGACATGTTTAACCACCTCCCGTCCATTGGCCGTTCCTGAACGGCCGGACGGGAGCCTTATAGGAGCGGCAGTGTACACATGAGTGGGGAAATTGTCAGAAATGTAAACAGCCAATGATGGCTGTTTACATTCAAGTGATCGGGCGTCCAATCGCTTCTATTAGGTGCGGGTGTGCGCCCCCCCCTCTTCGGTGCCGGTCCCGAGATCCGCTGTGCCCCTGGGACCAGCGCGGCGACTTTGTCAAAGGAGATGAAAGGGAGATCAGTACACGATCGCCCTTTGATCTCCTTTCCGGTCCCCGAATGCAGGAAGTGATGTATATTACATCACTTCCGGATTCAGTGTCACTCTCCGGCTACAGATGCCGGTGAGAAGCTGCTGAAGCAGATCTCTGCTTCATCAGCTTCTCTGGGGGCCCCTAGGTGACATTATGGGTCTTGGAGACCTCTGATGTCTCCATAAAGAGGACCTGTCATGTGAACTGGCTATCACGTAGGGAGTTTCTCTCGTGCGAAAACAATGATTCCGCCTATTGTGCCGCACATGTTACATATCGCCACAAACATCGGAGTGAGAGCAATAATTTTAGGGTCATTAATCACTGATAACACTAAACTAAAAGCTTTAAAGCGTTGCCTATGCCCAATTTTGGCTGTGGTCGTTTTCGGGCAATTTTAAGGCTTGACATGTTTGGTGTCTATTTACCCGACGTGACCCCGTCTTTTATATTTTACCAAAAAATTGGGATGATAATAAATGTTTCATAACATTTCATAGGGAAACAGTTTTTTTTTTTCAAAATTGAGGATACTTTTTTGTTATATAGTAAAAAATAAAACCCCCCAGTGATGATTAAATATCACCAAAAGAAAGCTCTATCTGTTCCCAAAAAATGGTCTAACATTCATTTCAGTACAGCGTTGCATGACAGAATAAATGCCAGTCAAAGTACTAGTGGTACTTTGACTGACGTTTATTAACCCCCCACCGCAAGGGTTAATTTTTTTTAAATCCGACAGTTCTGCTTCAAAGTCATTATTCAGTTGAGCAGGTTCTCCGTTCTACTGAACTTACCTGTTTTGTATTCCGTTTTGGTCATCATTTACACCAAAGAAAATAGCACCGACAATCAAGGCAAGAACAGTACTGACCATTACCTGTTAAAGAAAAAAACAATAATATATCCCCAATTCGATTTAAAAATGAAAGTGTATTTTGATTATTTGAATGACAAAGTCAGCTACTGGACATTTAAGGTATATACACATGGAATCAGGGCGCCTAGTTTTATTCACCTATGGCTGTAATGACTGAAAGGAAAAGACCTATATTAATACACCATTGTGGATTTCCGAAGTAAGAATAATTGAGTTGACAATTCATGGCAAACCCAATTAAGCGTTTGGACATTTTGTTCTATATTTTTTAAACTAAACAGCATTGCCAAAAAAAAGTCAGATTAAAATCAAAAGAGTTTCAAACTATGTGAAATGATGATTAAATCTCTTACAATGAATGCTGCTTCTTGTTGATTAAACGTTTTAGCTTCCTGCAGAATCAGCTGGTCCCCTGAGCACTGGCCCCGATATCCTGTTTTACGGTGGCTCCTTTCCCTCGCAGGGTCCTAAGGAGCCACCCTTGTGTGTTCTAGTAAGCTGTGTGTGTCTCCACAAACACACAGGCACAGCAAGGCAAGACACTACCCTCCTCCCTGCTTTCTCTTTGTCCTTCTCCAAGCTAGTAGATGGACAGCTGATGTGATGGAGACTGATGTCCACGGTAATCTTGAACTGGACATAAAGTTTGGAGAAGCCGAGCTGAGAGTTGGAGCCAGCTGTCCGGAAACATGATGACTAAGGGGGTTTCTCATGAAGGAGTCGAAGGATCCAGCCATAGCTCCAGCTGATCCTTCAGCTCTCGTTGGCCGCCAGAGCCCTTCGGTTACCTGCTAGAAGACTCTGGCAGGGGCCGGCCAATAGTAAACAGTTGGGCGGAGCTAGCTGTCACTGCTAGCTCCACCCATTTTTTTGTGTGTTCTTTTTAAAAAAAAATATTTATTTATTTTTTATACTATTAATTTACATTTTATAAATATTTTTTCTACTTTTTTTTCAACTCTTTTCAATGATTTTCTATTGTGCTCGGTACCACGAAGGTGAGCAAAAAAATACTTTACTGGACAATATAAATTTGTTTTGATCTGGATTCATTATTGAAAAAAAAGGTTTGAGAGTTAAATACTACTTTAATGGTGTTCTAAGTTAAAACAGCCAAAAGTAATCAATAATTACAAAGTAATTATTAGGACGGTTAATATTTAACACTATTTGTAGAATGTTATACAAGAATGAAATGAGTGGTCATGCTTTGTATCCAGCAGAATTAAGCACAAAAGTGATATTTACTAGCTGCATTTGTGGCATCCACTGCTAAGCAGATATGTCAAAACCGAGAAAAATCCAGTATTTGGAAACAATACTAAGCAAAGCTCACAGTGAAAAAAAGCTTCAGCACTTATTGAACATTTGCTCACAGCAAGCCATGGTCTATTGGTGATCGAGTGGCAATGATACACATGAACCACGAAGAAGATTAAGAGATTACATCAAATGCTTTGACCTTTTTATGCCAAGTGGATTGTACAAAAGATTGGTAAAATATTTTAAAATGATTGGTATCAGGCTGATCGTTTAAGTGCAAGCCGTAAGGATGCATTAACTCCTAATTCCCTAATCACTGGGATAAGTGGGACTGTATTACTAAGAACCTGTAGAAAAGATCAAAGGCCACGGATTACTGAGCCATTAAGCCAACTGTAGTGGAAAACAAGGATCATATCAGAACCAATTTAAGTCGGATAAGATGAAATGGTTTTAATGAACTGTGTACCACGCGTAGAAAGCGTTGAAAATCCTGTACTAATGAGGTGTCGGGTACATTAAAGAGAAAGGTGCATACAATGCAAACTCAGGCAGGACAATTAACTCCAATACTCAGAGAGCTAATTCTTGTCACAAGGTCCAATGTGTTCAGGGTTGTTTTTTGGGTGAGAGACAGACATCCATTCAGCATTAAAATTCCAAGATTCCATTTACCCCTGTGATTGCTGTGAAACATGATCAACTGCTGGGGGAAGTAATAATCATCTGAAGACTTTCTGTACGTGCCCATTAAATCAAACTATTGCTTATAAAAACTAATTAAACCATTTAGCAGAGGTGCAGACTTTGACCCTCGCAAACTCAATACTGGGAAGCGGGGCTGCCCAACAGTCATGTGCAAACAGTAAGCCACTGTAGGTGGGCTAAAGCCAGCAACCACAGGAGGTACTTGCAGTCCCGGGAACCTCAGCAACAAACCAAAACACCTAAGGTGGTGACTACAAAGGCAAGTGTTAGATTATTTCGCGTTTTATGGCTATAGGTTGCTTTTAATGCTAAACTATGTCACGGCAATTAATATTGACCATTCGCTTCTTGCTACTCATGGCATTACAAATGTGTGTTCCTAGTTTTTCAGAAATGTACCTTCTTTTCATATGTGACATCATCTGTATAAGTCATATGTCGCTGTTATGCCTGGGCACTAGGAGATTAAATAAACCAGCAGCACCGTCACTGCCACTTACTGTGTGGCTCTGCTTGAAAACACTACAATTCCCATCATGCAACGGGAACTTGCTGGGAAGGATTATGAGTGGGTCAGTATGAGGTGATGGTGGGGCGGGACATACAAGGAGTCTTCTCCTCTGTCAATCAAAGGATGAAAAGTGGGCAGGTCAAACCAAGAGTCTGACAGGGTCTATTCACAAAAGGGTGAAAAGTTTGGAGAAGGCAGGAGAAGTGAACAATCTAGGACAGCATAGCGGAACTGGAAAGTGAGCTGGATTGGAGAATTTTTCCAAATCAGCTATGTTGTCCTAGATTGTTCACTTGTCCTGCATTCTCCAAACCCTTCACCCTTTTGTGAATAACCCTGTGAGACTCCTACTACTGTGAGCAGCAATGCGGTTATGTTGTTGTGCACTTGTAAAAGAACTACGCAGGGGTGCTGCAAGGCTAGGGACCAGTGGTAAAGTGGGGATAGTGGCCACTGGTCTTATGACATGGAAATAAAAGGGAATGACACACATTATGCAAGAGTCCAAACGTGATGATGACTGCTTTTGTAAGACATTAACAAATTGCTTTAAGATAAGAAACGATGTGATCACATGTGAAAACAAAATGAAGCTTTCAGGGCTATCGGGGTGACAGCAACTTGTTTACAAAATCCAAAACTAGCACAATTTCTGTTGCACATGGAAAAGCTATCAGCTGGGAGTGTTAATAAATTGTAAAAACCTCTCTCTTCCTCAGTGAATATAATAGGGGTATAGGAATTCTTAATGGCTCATGCACATATACACACAAATATAGGTTGAACTTGATAGACCTGTGTATTATTTTACCTTATCAACTATGTAATATGAACCTAGTCTTCAGGAACACAAGACTGATGAAGAACTAAAAGCGGTCTTTGAACTCACACAGAATTTTTCTCATGGTCAGGGTGCATTTTAGATCCGCAGAATACCAGTATAACTGTAAGTGGCAAAGTCAACTAACAGTTTTAGACAGATGCTACATCAAACTGAAATTGGGACTTCACAGTGAATACAACAGCTAATCCAAGTCCGGGATTGGGAACAAGAAAAGTGTTGTGGATACCTTCCAATGTGCATTTCTCTTTACAAAAGTGGCTAACTTAAATCAAGTATGATGGGGGTAGGGGGTATAGATAAACTTATGTAGGGACAACAGTCTGTGAGGTCTTCAATTTATAAACTGTATAGAGAAAAGCTTTTAACAGCATAGAAAGGACACCTTTGATGACAAAGCGGGTATGCCGCAAATAAAAACAACATGTAAGGAACTGATTTTCTTTTAAGATGAATTTATGAAACCCTTGTTCACTGGACACAAATATGTAATTAAGGAATGCCAACACAAGCCTCCATGAGACTTCCAGGCTAGTGAGAATACACAGCGTAGATGAGGGTCTTCATCAACCAACGAGCTGTCCACAAAAAAAAAAAGGCCACTCATGCCATCAATGGCTCTTTTTGTGAGGTAGTACAGGGCATTCCAGTCTTGTCTTTATCATACAGACTTGTATAAATCAATTCATGGAGTTCCAACATTTTAGTGTGGAGTAAATCAGCTTTTAAATGGAGATGGAAAAAGATAATCTACTTCTAAGGGCAAGGTCTATAAATGGCCTACTTACTACAGATACAATCTTTTCAGTTTTAGGGCCCAAGTACACAAGCCATTGTCATTTGTTTATGAACAGTGACCTCTAGCACCATACATAATATGGTAGGAAGCAAGTAGTAAAAACACAAACATTGAATCCAACTGCTTCTACTAAAATCTCATGTGGCCATTGTTTACTGTATAACAAAAGGATGCAGAGAGGGGGGCATATTAGGCTTACCTGGGCTACGGACGCTTGTGGATTTCTAATGAGGTTTTTAAAGGATCTTTTAGAAACCCACTTCAGCTGGTGAAAGAACGAAGTGTTGTAAGTGATCTGTCGGTTCAAGAAATTGGTCTTCACTTTTTCACCGATGGACAATTTCTGCAGCTCTGCGATGGTCTCTTTGTAATATGTGGTATTGCAGAACTCACCAGATAATTTTTCCACAACTGTTTGGGAGCCACCATCATTGACTTCTTCAATCCCTTAAAAAACAAAAAAACACATTTGTTCAAAAGGCACTTTTTGGTCAAGGCACCATAATTCTTAGTTCAGCAAAGAGTTGAACATAAATAGTTGCCTAGTTGGAAAAAAAAAGAAGCTTAACCACGTAAAATGAAAAGTAAAATTGCACAAGTACCATACATTTTCTCTAAAATTAGGTAACTTGAACTAGATGTGCTGCTTTCCCATTTCAATCCAATCCTAGGAGGAGGGATTGTTACAGAGGCTAAAAGCTGGCAAAGTGATGTATGCCACTGGAAGGAAATTTGCTCCACCAAAACACTCAACAAGCATGACACACGGAGGGATTATGCAATCAGTCAGCCTCTATTGGCAAAGGAAGAAGCACTGCTATCAATGGAGAGCTTCACCTCCACCATAGACCCAATACTATGGTGGAAGAAATGCTGCACCAAGATTACTGCAAATAGGAATGGCAGCCCACACCGGCACCAAACATTTGTGATATATAAAGAATGATAGCTACAGGGCAATATTTTAAAAGGTAAGGCATTGATTAGTGGTAAGGATTACTAGATTACTATAGAGAGAGAAAAAAAAGTCTTAGCTTCTGATGAAAGATACTTTCTTTAATGATCACTCTGCCTCCAGGATACTTAAACACTCATTTTTTCAGCTACAGATTTGGCAAGCAATCAGTGTTGCGGATAGCTGGTAAACTACTTTATGGTTACACGATCATTAAGAAAGGGGAAAAAAATAAATCAAAGAACGTAAAGTGATAGAATGCAGATAACTACCTACGCAAATATTAGAACAATGCTACGGACTGTTTATATATATATATATATATATACACACACACACACCCCTGTGGAAAAATCAAGAGTTTTTCCAGTAATTTGTTTGCATTATTGCCACATCAGCAAGTAAGAAAAATAGGAAAGTTTTGTGAAAGCAAATTTGCCCTCTCCATGGAAAAAAAAAAGAGAAAAAATGATAGCGAATTCTGCAAGATACAAAGAAAAAGACACTAGGTCTTATTTTCGGGGCATGTCTTACCTGGCTTGGCTGCAGCTGTCCACTCTGCCGTCCAGGGAGCCACAGACAGGTGGGCGGG